ACTTACCTGGAACTTTGCCAGGGCCCAGTAATGAAGATGCAGGAAGATATTAAATTTCCACTGCAGAGAAGCCATGCACTACTGACTGAGCCTTCCATCTTGGTTTCCTTGTTGGTGAACCAAGGCCTTGCTGGGATCAGCCAAGAGCTGCCTACAGTTTCTTCTTGCTGATTGAAGGAAACATCTTCTAGGGAATGATGGAGGAAAAGGTGATACATTTTTTTTTTTTCCCTGCCTGGAAGATTTATCAACCCTAAAAAGTGACTTTTATGCTGGGACCACTGGATATCCATATGCAAGAGTGAAGGAGGACCCCTACCTCACACTGTAAGCAAAAATTAACCCAAAATGGATCATAGACCTAAATGTAAGTGCTAAAACCATAATATTCATAGAAGCAAACGTAGGAGTAGATCTTTGGGACCGTAGACTAGTAATGGTTTCTTGGATATGACACCAAAAGTAGAAGAAATTTAAAAAATTACATAAGTTGGACTTCATCAAAATTTTAAAACCTTTGTACTTCAAAGGGCACCATCAGGAAAATAAAGACTACCTACAAAATGGGAGAAAATATTACAAATCATATATTTGATAAGGGATTTACATCTATAATATATAAAAAACCCTTACAACTCAACGATAAAAAGACAAATACCCCAGTTTAAAAATGGCAAAAGAGGGGTGTCTGGTGGCTCAGTTGGTTAAGCATCCGACTCTTGATCTCAGCTCAGGTCTTGATCTCAGGGTTGTGAGTTCAAGCCCCTGTTGGTCTCCATGCTGGACATGGAGTCTATTTAAAAAAAAAGAAAAAAGTGGCAAAAGATTGGAGTAGGTATTTCTCCAAAGAAGACATACACATGGCCAGTAAGCACATGGAAGGATGCTCAACATCATTAGTTATTAGGGAAATGCAAATGAAAACCACAAGATACCACTTCATTATATCTAGAATGGCTAATATAAAAACAGCAGACAATAACAGGTTAGGAAGGATGTGGACAGATGGAAACTCTCATATATTTCTGGTGGAATGTAAAATGGTGCAGCCACTTTGAAAAGCAGCTTGGCAGTTCCTCAAAATGTTAAACACAGAGTGATCATATGACAAAACAATTTCACTCCTAGAAATATACTTAAGAGGAATGAAAACATGTGTCCACATGATGTTCGTAGCAGCATTATTCACAATAGCCAAAGAGAGGAAACAACCAAGATGTCTATCACCTGATGAATGGATAGATAAAACGTGGAGTATTCATACAAGGGACTATTATTTGGCCACAAAATGAATGAAGTGTTGATTCATGCAAAAGCATAAACAAACCTTGAAAACATTATGCTATGTGAAAGAAGTCAGTCACAAAAACCCCACACAAAATCACACAAAAACCTTGTGTGATTCAATTTATATGAAATATCCAGAAGAGGCAAATCCACAGAGATAGAAAATGGACTTGTGTTTGTCTGAAATTGGGGGTGGGGGTGCAGAAGGAGAGACTGCTAATGGGGATAGGGTTTCTTTTGGGGGTGATGAAAATGTTCTAAAGTTAGTGGTGATTGTTACACCGCACTGAATATACTAAAAACCATTGAATTGTATACTTTGTATGAGTGAATTTTATGGTATGTGAATTAGATCTCAAAAAAGTATTATTGGGGCACCTGGGTGGCTTAGTCAGTTAAGCACCCGACTCTTGATTTCGGTTCAGTCATGATCTCAGGGTCGTAAAATTGAGCCCCGCATCAGGCTCTGTGCTGAGGGCAGAGTCTGCTGGAGATTCTCTCTCCCTCTGCCCCTACCCACCTCTGTCTAAATAAATAAATAAAATCTTTAAAAAAATAGAATAGAAAGAAGAATGACTATCAGTCCTTGATTGTCCTTGAAGAGGCCACTGGAGATTTCTTTAGTTAGTGCCAATTCCATTTCTTACCTGAGTACAGATAAATTGGGGATCTGGCTGAAACTTGCCTGCTTCTACCTCACAGTTGAAGTTTTCTAAATTTCCCAACTTCTCCCCTGATTCCAGGCCTCAGCACTGGAATCGCCCATTTCCCCTAGTTCCCTGCTGCCATCCTTCCCATATCAACCATCCCTGGTTTTCAAGACAGCATTGGGTGGCCCCTGGGGTGTTCCTGTTTCTTATCACCACTCCACTGAATGGTGTCCGTCTGTCTCCCTGGTGCTGTGTCCTTCAGGGCGCCGCACGTTCCCTGAGGACAGCTGAGGTGCTAGCTGTGCTCACCATTAAATGCCAACACAGTCTTGGTTATCACTGAATGGATGAATGAGTGCCTGAAGTGAATATATACCTGGAAAAGAGCATGTGTCTGCACGGAGTGGAAAGATGTGGAGGAGGTGGAATAGGGAAGAAGAGGAAGGGAGGATTTGGACGAAAGTTATATTACCATGTACCCCCTTCTTTTTCTGTGACCTCCAGCCACTTTGACCATGTGAGCCTCTTGGATTCTGTAATGACTTCTCAGTTTCCTCTGAGTCAAGCCAAAACCCTAGACCTTTCAAAGAACACACCAAACCTTGTTTTTCTACTCTTTGGCTCTGAAATACCAAGTTGGGAATCTAGCCAAAGAAAATCGCAATAATAACCACTTAAATACAGAGCTGGGGGAGGGGTCAGCTCTAGAAACGTGTGTGCAAAATTACTCATCTGGCATTATTTATAATAGTCAAAAATTGGAAACAGCCTAAATGTCCAGAAGTAGGATAGTGTACATCATGCCATGTCCCAAAGATGAAGTAACGTGCTCCCATTAGAAGAATTTAGTACTTTAAGAAAATACCTGTATTATATGTTTGGTGAAAGAAGCAGGTTATAAACTAGTGGGTAGGTTACAAACCAATTGCTACTATATATGTTATGCACAAAAATATTTTAAATACTGAAAAAAAACCCACACCAGAATGATTTCAGGGGTTTTCTCTTGATAGTGGGACTATGGATGTCTTTCTCATTTCTTTTTTAATGTAACCAGGTGCTCTATGATGAACACACATGGTTTTTATAATGACACACAAAAAAATTTGCCTAATTCTGTAACTCTTTCAACTGCTCTTTCTTGGGGAAATCACTCTCCACCTGCTTTGTTCAGTCAACCCACACCTGTCCCCAAATCCTTTTCCTGAGCTACACTATCAGCCTGTAAGGACCAGCACTTTGCCAGGTGCTCCCTCCAAACACTCAGGCAGCTCCTGAGCACACGCTACTGGGAAGCCTTTCCTGATCACCAAGAGGAAAGAAGGCTGGCTCATCCCCACTCTGCCCAACACGGTGCTCGCCTTGTCCAAGAATATCCCCAGCTTCTTTGCTGGTGCTTGACCTCAAGGGACTGTTTCCTGATGTGGCCCAGCAGCTGGTGCAGCCGATTGTGTGTGTGTGTGTGTGTGTGTGTGTGTCTGTCTGTCTGTCTGTCTGCACCTGGTGGCCGGGCCAAACACCTAGAAGGAAGTTGAGCTGTAGAGGCCACAGGTCTCATCCCTGTTGATGAGGAAGCTAGGAATGACTCTTCTGTCTGCGTGTCCTGATTTGCCATGGGAAAGACTTCCCTTGGCCATTTAAACACCACCCAGTCTTTAAACAACTTAAGAAGTGATCAAAGGTGTTTGTACTTAACCTGGACCAGCCACCTTCTTAATGGAGTCAGCCCGACGCTCCATAATTTTGGGAGGAAGTGAGTGTGAACCAGTAATGGGGATGTAGCTCGAAAGCACTTAGATGTTTTGTGAGTTGATTTTTCCAAGAATACATCCAGCTTATTCCTGAACTGGAATCAAATTAGAAAGACCTTTGAAGGAAAAAGTTAGTGGGTCAGCAAACATTTGAGGGCTTACCGAGTAGCTGACACATCTCAGAGCACTTGTGAAATTCTGTGGCTTTATCAAAGCAATAAACAAATCTGAGTGATTGTTCCTGCAGAACTTCCTGGTCATGTGTTACACCCACTTGAAGCATAACAAGGAAGGCTCGGAGGGGAAGACGCACCGTCTTGTGGTGCCTTCAAGAAGGGTGCATGTGCCTTAGCTCCCGTGGCCTTTTGAGCTAATTACCCTGGCCTGTGTGTAATGAAACACGATGGCGTTAAGGATCAAGATAAATCGGGTATCCTGTCATTGACCTTTGGTGTTTTTGAAACTGAGAAAAAAAGATTTGGTGTGCCAGTCTTCCTCATCAGTCTGGTATCTCACCGGTCATCTTAAACAAGGTAAACAAACCACAGGCATATTTTTCTTCCCTGCAGAACTGCACCCTTTCTCGTGAGTGGGTCTGGATACTGTTTGGCAATTGGAGTTGAGTAGAATAGGGGTGGGAGAAGCATTTCTTAATTCCACCCTCTTCTCAAACGTCTGAAGCAGAATAATGAGTAGGTGAGTGTCACATTTGTTGCCTCTTTTCCACTCCTACTCTCTGAATGCAGACCTCAGTCACGTTTTTCTTAAGCCACCATAGCTGGCATTTCCTCCCAGTTGATCTCATGAAGGCTGGAGGTGCTGGGATCCCCAAAGGAAGCAGAGATGGTCTTCATTCTGCCATTTGCGGGGGTCAGGTTTTGTTTAATGTGATCTAGAAGCCAAGAGTGAAATGGAAATGCTGGGACGGGAGAGGGGTTTTGAGGAACTGACAGGGAAAGAGAGAAAGGAGGGATCAGGGATGGCAGGGAGAGGAACCTGCGTGGGGAGTCTTGGGTGCTGTTATTGGGTTCCCTGTGAATTGTCTTCTTCATCGTCCCAAGAGATCATTAGGAAAATAATCCATTTCCTGTTGGTACACTATCCACCAACAACCTGTTTGTTGAAGGAATTCACTCATGCATTCACTCAACAAATATTTATTGAGAGCCTGTCATGCACCAAGCAGTATTCTAGGTGCTGAGGATACAGTAGTGAACAAAAACGCACCCAACACAGAACAACATGGATGAATCTTCAAGCAATTCTGCTAGGAAACGTCAGTCCTCAAAAGTTAATGCTGGTGATTCCATTTATATAACAGTTTTGAAATGACAGAATTTTAGAAATGGTGCTTGCCAGGGGCTAGGGATGGGGTGGGAGGGTCATGGTGGGAGAAAGTTGGTATAGTGGTAAAAAAAATCACCACACGAATGCCATTCAATATCTTGACTGTGGTGGTGGATATAGGAATTTACACATATGATAAAATTGCATAGAGCTAAACACACATAGTAATGTGTACAAGTAAAACTGGGAGATCTGAAAAAGATCTGTGGATTGAATCAATGTCAGGATCCTCCTGGTTGCAATACTGTACTATAATGCTACTATTGGGAAAACCAGGTAAAGTCCATGGAGGATCTCTTTTGTATTATTTCTTAGAATTATACATGAATCTACAATTATTCCAATAAAAATGTCCAAAAAAACACCCCCCAAACAAAACCCAACCCCCAGACCTGATGGAGCCTCCATTTGAGTGGGAGCTAAGTATGGCTTCATGGTGGGCAGAGGGCAAAAGCCAAGACCATCCTTGAGAGGTCTGCCCTCTGGGGTACTCCATGCAGTGTCACCAGAGATTCCTTCCTGTCTTCGAGAGATGCCATTGAATCCCTACCAGTAACCAAATGAAATCCAGACTTAGGGCAGGAGGCAGGTGCAGAATAAGGGTGGACTCCCAGCTCCCCTAACCCCATGACATGGGTACATTGGAATTATTCAGCCTGCCTTTGGGTCCTAAACCAGGCACCCACTAGACTACAAAGGTGAGACTCAACTATCTATGGGGGTTCCTGGTGCTCACGTGGGACCCTTCTTGGCTTGTTCCCAGCTTCCACCATCGCCACCACCAACCTCCTTTCATCTCTGTGCAAACACCTGGCCCATCCTGGCAGCACATTCAGCTTGGGGAACCTACTTGGGGAACCACAGACACTGGCATGGCTCACTGCCCCAGTTTTCAGCAAGAACTCCTCATACCAGCCCAGGCCTGGGCCTCAATCCTGGATTCTAGCCCCCTGACCATGGTTAGTTGGGTCAGCGGCCAGCCCGCCACCCCCTCCTGCAAAGGGGGATGCCCACACCAATCTGCTGTCCCACTGGGTGTACAATGGGGCATCTAACAGGCTACAAACTGGCCAGCTCTTCTATTTTATTGCCATAGAAGAACTTGAGAGGAAAGAAGCCATGCAAAAATTAAATAAGGTTGGAACAGACTTTGAAGTTTTTATTATTTTAAATTATGCCATGCCTTGCATGGAATGACCACAAAGCAATATGCCTTCCTGGCCACACAATTTACTAACAGGGCATGGTGGAGAAAGTTAGAACTCCTAGATGCACAAGCTAGTCTACTGGAAAGAGGGAGAGAAGGGGCGGCAGGAAGGAGCAGTGATAAATATTTACTCGTCTCTTCTCTGAGATGCCAGTGGTTGCCCATTCTAAGAAGGATGATTATGTGACTTAATACAATTTCTGGTCACCATCATTATAATAAAGGAAAAGGGCTTTCTTAGAAGTGCTTGAGCTAATCAATAAACATTTGATCCACTTTCAAATAAGGTTTTTATAGCCAAAATAAGTTGAAAGAAAAGATACTGACAAGCACTATTTCCATACCTTTGTCTCAAAGCAGTCACACAAAGAATAAGTGCAAAGCGAAATGAAGGACCTCCCCTTCATTCAGAGAGGGAGCAAGCCTGGAGTCCTGTGGGAGCCTGCCAGTGGAGCGGTTCTGCCCAGGGCCCAGGCCCCAACCCAGTCAGCTCTGAGGGGCCACGAGGCAATCTGGTGCCCCGTCCCGCTCTTCCTGGGAAGGGGCCTGCTTCCTCTTGTCCCAGTCTGTGTCCGGGATGAATAACCCATGGAGATCCAGGTGCATCTCTACATCAATGGATGCACGAGCCAATTCTGTAAAACTTTTGGCATCCAGAATAAGCAGAAAAGGCTGCCTTTGGGGATCAGTAGAGACGATGGCTGATAGGATAATCCCTTTGGGGAAACAAAAAGAGACACTTTGTAAAAGCGCGGACTTGAATTTCCTGCAGCTGGAGGGATAAGTTTCTCAGCTATATCTCCCTGTCCGCTTTGAAGTAAGTATGGAATCCAAACAAAAGGAACATGACTTTGAGATTCTGTGAGAGCAGAAGGGAAAGGTCAGGGAAGTAGGAATCAGAAGACCTGGTTCCAGCCCTGCCAGGGCCAGTCCTTTTACCTCTCCGAACCTTAGTCCATTCATCTGCAGAGTAAGGAGAATCCTCCCTGCCCTCCCAGGGTTGCTCAGAGAATCTCTTGCATGGTGAATAATGAAAGCATTTTGTAAAGTATTGCATGCATCGGAGAAAGGCTATTTGCCTACTATTTAGAAAGTCTGATTACAGAGAATCAGTTTTGATGCTGTATTTAGACTAATATACGGCACTTAGCTAAACTCAGACTAGCTGCACTCAACAACATTCAAATGAGCCCAATCCACTTTATGCACAGGCAGCACGTTGGTAGCCCCAGCCTTTCCCTCTATAAAATGGACATATTCTAAGTACTCACTCTCAAGGGATATAGGATTAAACGAAATAATGCCCCTAAACTTCCAGCAACTACTCGTGATTCCTCCCAAGGTCTCCTGGGTCTCAGGGTGGTTGCGCGTAGCTGAAGTCAGATTGGCTTAGATTAAAATCCTAACTCTGTAGGCACTGGGTGTGTGGCCTTAGGTAAATTGCATCATTCTCTCAGCCTCTCCTTTGGTGAAATGAAGACATTGCTACTCCCTGCCCACAAGAGAATGTAGGGGAAGCCCTGGGCCTGCCCAGTAGGAGGCCAGCTTCAGCAGGAGGTGCTACCAACAATACCCCACCTCAGAGGTGACGGTAACGTGGGGTCCTGGTGTGCCATGCCATGCAGGATCAGTAGGAAGACACGGCCCAGGCAGAAAACCACTCCTTCTCACCTAAGGGAAATAGTTGGCAGCTCAGGGGGGCAGCCCCACCCATGGTTCTGGTTGTCCTACTTAGCATCCCCAGGAGTATGGGCAGGGGTTTCTGGGACAAAGGCAGAGTCAAGGAGGGAAAAGACCATTTGGTCATATGGAAATCTAGAAAAGAGAGGTGGGCCACAAATCTGTACTTACAGGTGCTCCGTACAGAAGATACCTGCTTAGAGGTTTAAGAATTCTGTCAGCCATTGCAATGAATTTTAAAGTGGAAAGGAAGTGGGCTTTTGTGTAGTAAACAATTTAATGTCTCCCAAAAGGAGGTCTGATCTTTGCTCCTGGGAGGTGACTCTAAGCCCTCGTAATGTCCTGCCTCATAGGAATGTCTTTATTTATCTGGGGCCAGCCTGATGATCTATCCTAGCAAAGTGAATTAGATGTCAGCTTGACCTCCAGAGGGACTGAAGGCTAAAGGTCAACCACATAGTCAACCAACCATGTCTACATGCCCAAGCCCCTAAAAAGCTCTGACATGAAGGCTTGGGTGAGCTTCCCTGGTTGGTGACATTCCATGGGTATTGTTGGAGGAGTTGGGGTGGGCTGTGACCTCCAGGGACAACCAGATACTCCGGGAATGGAATTCTCCTGGATTCTGTCCCATGAGTGTGTTTTCTTTCAATCTGCAACCTTTCACTATGACAAACCATAACCATGAATAGAACAGATTTCAGTGTATTCTGTGAGTCCTTCTATCAAAACAGAGGGTGGTCTTGGCAACCCCTCAACTTGCAGTTGGTGTCAGAGTGAGGGTGTTTTGAGGGACTCCTTAACCTCACCGCTTTGGACTCAGACAGACCTGGGTTTCAAAGCCTGGTTCTACCAGCTCTGTCATGTGGGGGTTGTAGAGGGAGGGTCGCTGCCCCCAAACAATGTCTCTGAGGGGTGATCACAAACATAGTGCAGCAAGCAGGCTCCCCTACCTGGAGTCTTACCGTCATCCTCGTCCTTGGCACCCGGTGTGGGTACAAACAGGGGTTCTGCTGGCCAGCAGTGCTCCTGTCCCCATTTTAAGGATGACTTTGTGAGAACATCCTATTTCAGTATCTGTACATCCAAAGAGGAAAGACATATGAGTGACTTGTTGGAGAGCATGCTCATTCCCTGGGAACCGATGACATCAATGCCTGCAGACAGAGGGGTTCAAGCCCCTCCAGCATAGACTCCAAATGACATCTACCTGGGGTCAGTATAACAGCAGAAATGAAAGCAGCTAGCTTCCTCCTCCATCTTTAAGCAAAGGTCCTCCTGCCATCCAACAGCTGACACTGCATACTGAATTTTTACAAATAAAAATCCTGACTGAGCCACCCAGGCACCCTAGGATGATTCAGACTTTCAAGGATGACTTCTTGACTTTAAATATCATAAGAAACACTCATTAAAAAGAGTTTTCATGTATTCTTTCATAAAATGTTTTGAATCTTATGGAATAAAAATGGTTGTTCAAAAAAAATCTTCAATTTATCTGGCATTTGGCGTTACATTGCATTTTTGTATGTGTTCAATGAATGTATTCAACGCAAACATTTAAAGTGTGATATGATCCTTTTGTTCTTTTAAAAGTGCAAGTCCCTGGATTTCTCTTAATCCCTAATAGACCTGTTTCCCCTTAGTGTGTGGGATTAGTGGGGAGTGTGTGTGTGTGTGTGTGAACCTTAATTTTTTGCTTTGTACATTTCTGCACTGCTTCCATTTTTCAGAAAAGATATTCCATTTATTATTAAAAATGAAGATATTAAAGACAAGTGATGTCTGTACACTTAGCATAGTCCCTGGGATACAGTAAGTGTTCAACAAATAGTAACAAATAACAGTAACTAAATGCTCCAAGTTTCGGCCCTCTGCTTGAAAGGGTGAGTTCCTTGAGGGCAGGGACTGGGATCGTCCTATCACTTTCTTATCCTCACTGCCACCATGCTGTAGCACACGGTTGGTGCTCCATAAACATGTACTGAATAAAGAAATCAGTGGATGACCTACAGCTGTGACCTCTTTGCTGTGCTTCAGTCCATCAGACAGGGCTGCCTCTCTTGGATTGCCCATCATTGCTTCCATTGTATTCTGTCCCAAGTGGACTTCACTCTCTGATCTGCCCTCTGCCCCAAAGGGACCTCCCTTTTCTGATCAAGGTCACCCAGCCCAAGAACCTAGAGTTGAGCTTTGCAGGCAGACACAATCATTGTAGGGAGCGCCAGCCCAAGTCACATAGGGATCAGTACCTTGGTTGGGATGGGCCTCCACTGAACTTCAGCAGCAAAGACATAGCGGTATGGCTTTCCGTTGTGAGCGTAATTGATCCGAGGCAGCTCTAAGCCTGAAGAGAATGACATGGCCAATGAAGCCCCCATCACTGAGGGTTGGGAGCATCCACCCTTCATGCCAGGCTGGGCATCCTGTCCACAAAAACAGCTCCCAGTCCAGGATCCCTGAACTTGCTTCAGGCCCTGGATTAGATCAAGGTTGGTAACAGGGCAGGGGGAGGGAAACTCTGATAATTACCCTGGCTCTATTAGAAGGTTCAGGAGCAAGGAAAGAGAGACCTAGTTTTTTAAATGTATAAGCATCTTTAATTATCCAAGATAGAAATCAAAAAGAATTGCATGATTAAAATCAGAGGCTACTGCAATTTTTTTAGAGCTCTTTAAAAAAAAAAGTACTTGTGTGCATGCACGTGTATGGGAGTGTGGAAAAAAACTTCTGAAGCTGTGGAAAGGGGTGTCCATGGGGAATAGTTAAATAAATCTGGTGAATTCACATAATAACCTAAGTAAAACTAATGTTTACAAAGAATTTTAATAACATGGGAAAGTGTCCATATCATAAGACAAAGTGTAAAAGGCTGGTTATAGTATTATCCTCACTATGTTACAGATGTAGAGAAAAGGTTTGGAAGCATTGCTGGGGTAATAACTTCCTTATAGTTTATATTTTATATTGTACACTGTAGGTTTCTCATTACATGAAATTTTTGTTATGCCTTTTACTTTTGTAATTAAAAAAACTAAATATTTTGTCCATGTACATGCATACATATATGCCTGTTGTGTTAAATTAAATTTCTAAGTCTGAGGGCTGAAATGAAAATTCCCCCTCTTATGGAATATTCCAAGCAGTCAGAGCCAACTGCTGGTGAAAATATAATGTCCAAGAAAAGAGGAAGCAGGCATGGAAAATCTGCCACACAAAGCCCTTCTGAAAAAGACCCAGGGCATGAGTGGTTACTGGGCTTGGGAGGAGTGCAGGGGAATGGCCTGTTGAGGTGGGAAGATGTCCAGGCCCACAGACAAGTAATCATGAAATTTTCAAGAGACAGGCCACAGTGACTGTGAACTGGAGGGACCACCCACATAGAGAAATCAGAAAAAGGTGCCCACAGTTGCCCCCAGAGTAGGTCTGAGACTTCCCATGGTGCTCCTGTACCTGAAACCTGGTCTGGGGACCAACTCCCCCCAACCTCCACCCTGTCAATGACTAGCCTCAGGAACTTGGTCTAGTAAAATAGGATTTATCCCTGTAAATTCTGTGAGGCTATTGAAACCATGCTCTTGAAGAATCTTCAGGACGTGCAGAAATTCTCAGGCTATATTCATTCAGTAGAAGAAGCCATTTCAGAATATTCTAGATGGTATGGTATGCATTGTGTAAAACTATAAATGCAGAGGTTAAGGGTTTTTGAGTCTGAGAGACCTGGGTTCAGATCTTGGCTCTGCTTCCTATCTTTGGGCAAGTTATGGAATTATCCTCAGTTTGCTGTCCTCAGTTCTAAAACAAGAATGACATGTGCCAACACCTGCCTCCCAGAGTTGTTCTAATAACTTCTATCTTGTGCTGGACTCTCACTATGGGCCAGGCCCTTGGTGAAGCACTCTATGTGTGTGAACTCATCTAATGTCAAGGATAACGGGATGAGACTGTTGGGGTGAGGTCTGGGAAGCTCTAGAAGAGGGCCTGGCATATGCCAAGCACCCCGTACATGACAGAGAGACAATGGGTATTTCCAAAGGGTTGCCATGGGTGAAGGGATTATGAGGGATCTATCTATTGCTATACTTTTCAGGATTGCCCAAGATTGCCAAGGTGCGAGAATTCTCTTCCCCGATACAAAAAAGACCATAACGTTTTAACCCTCCATCTGCCCGATGTGGCAAGTGAGTGGAGATGCAAGTCAATGCCTTAAGAACTGGGACCAAGGGGCGCCTGGGTGCTCAGTCAGTTAAGTGTCTGCCTTCAGCTCCGGTCGTAATCCCAGAGTCCTGGGATCAAGCGCTATGTGGGGCTCTCTGCTTGGCGGGGAGCCTGCTTCTCCCTCTCCCTCTGCCTGCCATTCCACCTGCTGATGTGCGCTCTCACTCTCTCTGCCAAATAAATAAATAAAATCTTTAAAAAAAAAAAAAAAGAACTATTACCAAGATCTATATATTTACTTCCAAGGACCCCCAGCGCCTGGGGTGCCACACAGAACCTGTTACAGGATCCTAGGATGCTATTTTACAGCAGTGGTTCTTATGGGCAAATCTGGGGTTGTCCTAACAAAGTCCCCAGGACAGTGTCCTTCCAGATGTGTGAACCTGGCGGGAGCCAACAGGCGAGCAAAGCAGACCCATGCCTGGCCACCCTCTAGCTGAGTGTCCCGGACAAGACCATTCATTCCACGCCTGTGTTGAGGACAGACCCCTCAAAGCCACACTTCTATCACATGCTGGGGATACACCGAGCACAGAAACATAGTCCCCGCGTCACAGGCTTATATTCTAGGGCAGTGGTTCTCCATCAGGGTGATGGTGCCCCCACCGGACATTGGCAATGTCTGGACATATTTTTGGTTATTCCAATTCAGAGTGCGGGTGCTACAGGCATCTGGTGGGTCAAGGCCAGAGGTTTTGCTCAATGTCCTACACGGCGGCCCCCCACACAAAGCATGACCCGGCCCCAAATATCAGGGGTGCCCAGATTGAGAATCCCGGCTCTCACGGGTGCGACTCTTATTGGAAGGGTTTACACTCTGTGTGGAGCACAGCCTTTCTGAGCCATCTCCTCCTCTGTCAGATGGGGCTGATGGCCCCTGTTCTGCAGGATATTTTGAAGGTGTAGAAGTGGAAATGCAAACACACTGTTCCCGTACAGTAAGTCAGCGTTCAATAAATCGGCGCGTTTATAGAGGCCAGCCGTGAAAGTCATCTGGTCCAACGACCACCCCCACCCCAGTACCTTCCTGGGAGCTGTTTGAAGATATATGAAAGAGAACTGTCCCCAAATGTTTTCCACTGGGGCACCCCAAGAGTCTTCCTGTTTGTCCCTTGTCGGTGCACAGCTCCTCTGCATCAGAAGGAGGTACAGAGAAGGCGCACGTGAATTCACGAAAGCCTGCCCCTTCCCTAAGCATCTGCAAAGAGGATGCATTTTACCTTCATAAAGCAACTCCGGCTGGCAGTAGACTTGGTCATCTTTTTCCTTCAGGGCTCTTGCTGTTGTAGATGCCAGTTTGATTAAATTTGAGCCCACTTCTGCATCCTGAATCAGTTTAAAAAAAAAAAAATTGAAAACTGGTTATCCAGAGCAAACACTTGCTTTACTGTGTACATTAAAAAAAAAAAAAAAGTGCTTTAGTGGATGTTGTCTTGTTCTGGCCTTACGTGAACCACAGGAAGCAGCTATCATGTTGTTGGTATTTTTATTCTTATTCTCTGAGACCTCGTAGCTGGTAGGTAGTAGGACGGGGGTCCCAAAACTCCTGGCTCTTTTTTCCTACTCTGGGCTACCTTATCTTTCACAGGTGAAATTAATGTATTGGTAGGTTCTCACTTTTTAAATAATGGCTGATTCACCTATGTAAAGCTGCATCAGTCATTAAAAGGATGTTTATAAAGAGTTCATAATAACATGGGAAATGCTCATGATAGAATACCGAGAAAAGCAGTAGAGTAAATTGCATACGCAATCTGAACTCAATCAGTTTAAAAAGAACTTACATTGAAAAGAGCCTGGGGGAAATATACCAATTATTAACAAGACAGCAGGCGGTGGGATTATGGGGACTTTCTTTTTCTACACTTATCTGTATTTTCAGGATTTTCTCCTATGAAAATGTACCACTGCTGAAATGAAAACAAACAGGCAATAAGAATTGCTTGGGAGTGAAGGATCTATGGAGGGCATTCCCTTGGTCTCAATTTATAATCAGATTTTATTCAGTGCCTTACCGTCATCACGGTAACCCAGGAGAGGGATTTAAAACAATTGATTAAATATTTATTGAGCTTCTATTACTATCTCTGGAGTTCTATGTCCTTATCTGTATAATAAGGTACGGTAGATGCATCATGCAAAGAGTATACACTTCTCCAAGTTATTGTGCAGATTAAATAATCCATGCAAATGGTTTACAAGAGGGTCTGGTTAATAGTCTGCTAAATAAATGTTAGTTGCAGTTGATAACGTTGTTGTTGTTTTAAAGATTATTTACTTATTTGAGAGAGAGCAAGCTCAAGCAGGGGGAGCAGCAGAGTGAGAAGGAGAAGCGACGTGGGGCTTGATCCCAGGACCCGGGGATCATGACCTGAGCCAAAGGCAGACATTTAACCGACTGAGCCACCCAGGCACCCTGGTTTGTTTGTTTGTTTGTTTGTTTAAGATTTATTTATTTATTTTAGGGAGAGAGAGATCATGCACATGCGAGTGGGAGGGGCACAGGGAGACAGAGAGAGAATCTCAAGCACACGCTGTGCTGAGCGAGGAGCCCAATGAAGGGCTCAATCTCATGACCCTGAGATCAGGACCCGAGCCAAAACCAAAAGTCAGATGCTTAACCGAATGAGCCAACCAGGCTCCCCTACATTGTTGCTTTTTAAAATAATGATAATAATAATTATTACCACTGGGAGTGAGTGCAGTTTAGGCAATGGAGGAGGAGAAATAAGACCAAGCCCCTGCCTTCATGGGGTTTACAGGTTGAGAATTGTTGTTATGGCTGACTGCTTCTCATTTAAACTTTTCTCTACTTTCCAAATTTTCCAAAATGCGATTTTATAATTAACAGAAACTTATTTGAATGATAGCAGCTTTTTGCTGGGAAGGGGGGTAAATTTGCTGCATCCTAGCAGTTGAACTGCAGGGGCCCTCCGAGATTTGTTTAGTTCAATCCCTAGTTGACAGAAGAGGAAAACAAGGCTCAGAGAAGGAAAGTGACCTGCCCAAGGCCACACAGAGGAAAGGACAGTCTGGGCTCTTGGCAATGCAACGTAATTCTGCTCAGAAGCAAGGGCACTGTAGGCAGAGGGCAAAGCAGGTGCAAAGGCCCTGAGGCTGGCCTATTCCTGTGTGTCTCTGCTCAAATATCCCCTTCCTTAACACTTCCATCTGCAATGTTGCCAAGGCATTTGTCCCAAGCTGTAATTATCTCCTGTATGGAGCTGCTTCCTTCTTTTATGTTGTCTTCCCCTTGAAGATGGGACCAGATTTTGTTCAGTGCATGGCACATAGTTCCCAGGAAGTAACTGCTCAATGAATGAGTGAATGCATGACTCAATAAGCTTTCCTTCCATTGTCAAGGTGTAAAACATGTGCTGTACAGGGTAGTTGTAGGAATTAAATGAGATGAAATGCGTGGAAAAGTCACCCAGCACTCAGCACATCCACCTGCACCACACCACAAAGCAGCGGAGACTCTGCCTGGTGCCTTGCTAAGTCACCTGACAGCAACAGGCCTGTTCTGCATGCCCTGGGCCTGCATTGCAGGGAGTCCGTCTGCAGAGATTCCCTCTGCAGAGACGTCTTCTAATTCCAGCCTGAAACTGGTCAGACTGGTTGAGGGATAAACTGAATTTTTCCACACAGCAGTAATGAACATGACTGGGCTGCTTTTGGTGGCCAGCGTGCTCAGCTTTGAGAAGAAAGGACTTTCCAGCCCAACGTCACCAAAATCCTACAGGTTTGCTTTGAAACCCCTCAGCTGGAGGGAACTCCCGGGAGAAGTGGCTATCTCGGTAATTCCCCGAAACCCTGGCTTTGGGGTTCAGAAGCCCGCTGTATGAAATCAGACTCTAAGCGTTTCTATGTGAGCTTGAGCAGCCTCTCCCCACCCTCAGCCCTCATGCCTCCCCAAGCCCGTTTCCTGGTTTGTAAAATATGGGGGCAATTCATTACTTTTTGACGGGTGGTGACCATAGGGGGGTTGCTTTGACTGGTGTCGGAAGACTATGGTTACAATTAAATAATGGTTATAAAAACACCTGGTCCAGGGCCAGGCACACCATAGTTAGTAACTCGGAGCCAGACAGACATGCATTCAAATCCCAACTCAAACCCCACAGGTGTTCCTGCAATGTTGGGCAAGTTACTTCTTCTCTCATCTGTAGTCACGGGGATAATAAACAACATAGAGCAGTGTCCTACTGATTAGGTGAGAAGCATGCAAAACATTTAACAGTTCCTAAAATTTGCAGGACCCAGGACAAGAGTGGAGACCCCCCACCCTAAGTCTAAATACATTGAGCGAATTGTTAAGTGAGATACCATTCTCTCCCCCACCTTGATACAGAGACCTTCATAATGTAGAACTGCACTGTCCAATATGGTAACCACTGACCACATGTGGTTATTTACATTTAACTTAAAATTAAGTACAATTAAACATCCAGTTCCTCGGCTGCCCTGGTCACGGTTCAGTGGCCCACGTGGCTAGCGGCTACTGCATTAGACAGACAGAGAATGCTTCATCATTGCAGTGGATACTTTTGCACAGTGCTGGTCTGTAAGGGTGTGTGAATTTGAAATTCTAGGACTCCTTGGAGTTTTGAGCCAAGTTAGGGCGGCAGACTGAGGGCCAGCCTCTGGGCTCAGGTTCTTTGTTTCCTGCCCCCTTTTCTTCCCACTGCACAGATGCCCCAGCCAGCACGACCAAGCCAATAGCCAACTCTGGCTACCTCGTGGGTCTGAGGCCAGGACACCAGTGGTGCAGCCTGCTTTTAGGAAAAGACAAGCAGGCACCGGAAGCAGTCTTGGGGCTATTTGGGCAGAGAATTCAGATATCCCGGGTAGCTGGTTCATGGCTGGGACAAGGGAGAGCACGTCTCCAGATGGGCACAGCCTCACTCTGTGAGGAAGGGAAACTGCCAGAGAAAGGCTGGATCAGGATCCCGCACCCCCCAAATGCCGAGGCCAGAGCAGGGGCCCCTCCTGCTGGGGTCTAAGAGGAAAAAGGGCATCTAACACAGGGCCTGGCACATGATGAGCTCTCAGCAGCTTCTTTTATTATTGGATCTTTGTTTTTGCACTTGGGGTCAAGACAAAACCCAAATCTACTGAGCCAGGAGTCAAAACCACCCGTTGTAAGTCCACAGTGCCTCCTCCCATGATGGCCCCTTATGCATGGATAGCTGTTGGAAGGGAAGGCAAGTGCTGATGAACCCACCTGGAGGCAGCGCACCGAGCCCCGCAGGATGAGGGCAGGGTTGCCGCCCGAACTGTCTGTACATGTCCATGCCCCTCCCAGCCCAGCCCTGCCTTAGACAACCCTGTGCCACCCTGCATAAACAGGCCAAGGGTGCCAAGGGGCCCCACCTACCTTTGACCCCAGCTGGCCCAAACACAAGAGAATCTGGGGCAGCTGGGAGGTCCCAGACTTCTAAATATACTTCACTGTTGACCATTGTATACGGAAAGCACTTTCCACTTAGGAAATGTTCCAAATGCTAAAGAGAGACCTGTGTCCTTTTAGAGACACCCCCCTTCACATTTCTCACCCACTTGTCATTCGTTCATTGATTTAGAGTAGTCAGGAGCTTAATGAGAAGGCTTTTGGGTGCCAGGCCCTGTGACAGGTGCAGGGGATAAACAGCTGACAAGACCAAGGGCTCTGGCCCTCTCAAAGCTTTCCCAGGGCAGGTGACTGAACAAGCTCATTTACCTAGGACAAATGTCCAGGTGCCATCAGAGCATACAAACTCCTCTAAAGGGAGTGATGATCTGACACCTGAGAGCTGAGCAGGAATTTGCTAGACTGGCTGCAAACTAGAAGCCCCTGTGGGCTGAGACCATGCCCTGCCCTTCCCCGCCCCCAGGACCCAGCCCAGGTGCCTAACCCCCACCCCGTGAGTCCAACCTGAAGCCAAGACTGGAGTGGAGGCCTGATGGGAAGAGGACAGGGTTGCAGGCAGAGCAACAGCGACAATGCCATGGCCCCAGACTGATGGGTGACAGAGAAAGCTGGCGTCTCCCAAGGTCTGTCCCAAAAAACCTTTGGATAGGACGGAATTAGAGCTGCCAGCTCTAGTCATGTCTGCCATGTCCATCTGCTCAACTTTTCGATTTCAATATGCAGGCAGGGCAACTTGAAAGTGAAGCAAGAAGATGTTTGAAGGGACAATAAATAGCAATTAAAAAGCGTGGCCAGAGCTACCCTTCCCAGGGCTCACACTTCTTTGTTAGTTTCAAAGCAGTAGATGGCTCACATGGCAGCTTTTCAAAATATACATGCTGAACTTCTTAGCCTAGTTCCAAGGAAGCAAATCATTTTTCAAGCACGATAAAAGGTTATAAAATCCCTTGGTGTGTGGGCAGTGAGAGGGAGCGTTTCCTTTCTCTGTTTCATCCCTGGGCCCAAGTCGATGTGAGGCAGGGCCAAGCCTTGGGATTTGCCACCTGTGTGCTCGATGACACCCCCCCCACTGCTTCCTGGAACCAGGAGACCAAGCATGGCACTGCGGGACGGCCCATGTGATGACTTTGTGGAAGTTCATTCAATAGCCCTGAACCATGTGGGGAGAAAGTTCACTCCTTTTTCTCTTCCAGTCTTTCTGACTGGGTCAAGCAGGGAGTCTCAGTGAGGTGCCACTATGTCTTTAACACCTCATACTTTTATAACTTTCTTTTTAACAGAGATTAAGTCTTGGCAAGCAACAGTATCTGGTTAGAGCTTCAGACCCCTGCTTTTCTCCCACTGTTTTATGTCCATGCTTGTCTTCTATTTGCAGGAGGCAATGCTAGCTTTCCATTGGCCAGTGATAGGTTTCCTTTCAAGAGTGAGTAGATTTAACAGATCTGTACCTCTGAAACAAATAATACACTATGTGTTAAAAAAAAAAAGAAGAAGAAGAAGAAGAAGAAGATAGCAGGAAGGGAAAAGTGAAGGGGGGGGAATGGGAGGGGGAGACAAACCATGAGAGACTATGTTTTCTGAGAAACAAACTGAGGGTTCTAGAGGGGAGGGGGGTGGGGGGATGGGTTAGCCTGGTGATGGGTATTAAAGAGGGCACATTCTGCATGGAGCACTGGGTGTTATACGCAAATAATGAATCACGGAACACTACATCAAAAACTAATGATGTAATGTATGGTGATTAACATAACAGTAAAATTTTAAAAAATGCCTTATCATTTCAAAAAAAAAAAAAGAGTGAGTAGATTTAAACAAAGCACGACTTTGTGAATGTTAAATCGAGGTGATAGGAGATATGGTGAAAATCGTGACAGAGATACACCAATGATTACAGATGGGGAAATGCTGGAAAGATAGGAAAGAACCCCAACTCTGGAGCCAGACAAACCGGGGTGCCCTGCTGACTGGGAGGGAGCACGCTTGAGCTCCTGCATTGAGGAGCCCGGGCAGTGAGGGTGCAAGAAGGTTCTGGGCCTTCTGTAGTAGTGTCCTCCATTTTCCAGGCCTGCAGAGCCCCGAGAGGGGTCAGGGTGACCTGTCTGGGCTCTTTTCAGGACTTAGGCCTGCTGGGGAGAATGGTAGAGTTGTACATTTACCAACTGCAAGCATGGGTTGAGAGACAGGCTGCTGCAGGTGCTAATCATGGCTCTGCCCCTGAGGGCTGTGTGACCTTGGCAATATTCCTTAACTTCTCTGAGCCTCAGTTTCTTCATCTGTAAAATGAGGCTAATATGAGGACCTCTCCCATAGGTTGTTTTGATCACTAAGTAAGGCAAGGAAAATAAAATGCTTAGCAAAGTACCTGGCACATAGAGTGCATTTAGTAAATAGGAGCCATCAAAACTGAGTTGAATTGAATTTGCTATCATTTAAATTAATTAAGTCATGAAGTCAGTGAGTTCTGGAGCCAGGAATCTCTGTAGCCTCTGAAGCCAAGCCCGGAGCCTTGGTAGCATCACCCTAATTGAGGATAATGTCTGGCCTAGTGGTCATTTTTAATGCAAGAAGGGGACTAATCAACAGCAGGGCATTGGGTAAGCGAATAGTGATGAATCCCGGCCTGGAATTGTCACACAAATATTTAAAATGATGTTGTAGAAGAGTATTGAATGTCATGGAGAGATGTTTAGATATACACATAAGTGGAAAAAAGCAGTGCACAAAACAGTACGTGCATATTCCACCATGAAAAGCAAGGAAGGGCTGGTGTGCACTATGGCAGAGACGGGCCTCGGAAACACAGCGCGGAGGGAGGGTGGCCACCGCGGGAGACCGCCTGGTGTGTGTGTGATGTGTCTAGAACAGGCAGATCCTCAGAGACAGGAGGAAGTGGATTAGTGCTCACCTGGGGCTGGGGGATAGAGGGGTGGAGGGGGGTAGGTGGGGGGGGCCGCAAGGTTTCTTCCCAGGCTAATAAAAAGGTTTTAAAATCCAGTTGGTGGCACAACTCTGTGAAGTTACTAAAAGCAGCTGAATGGTGCCCTTTAAATGTATGGTATGTGAAATTATCTCTCAATAAAGCTGTTAAAAATTCTCTGTGATTTCCTTCTCTAAAATTAAGAAATATATAAAATTTACATGTATGTATTTCTAAGTTTTGGAGAAGTCCTACTACATAGAATTTTTAACAGCTTTATTGAGATATGTATCAATAGGCATGTGTATTATATATACATATACACAGATACATCAACATGTGTATTAATATGTCTGTTGGTCTATCTACTGAGAGAGACAGAAAGAGATGTGGGAGGCAATACAAATATATTCATAATAGATTCATGGGGTTTTTTTTTCCTTTTTACCCAATCTATATTCTCTTAGGTTTCTATGATGAATATGCACCACTTTTGGAAAAACAATGAAAAAATGTTTTGTCTTTAAGAACAGCTCGCTTTGGATTTCAGTGTCAATCCAGTGAGTGCCAAAATCACTCCCCATTGGGACTCACGACTCCCCAGGAATGAAACGGGTCCCCTTCCAAGCCGTTACCTTGTCCACATTGAGGGGCACAGCGAACCTCCTGAGGGTGGGGATGGAGGTGAGCCTGCAGTTCTCCTCAAAGTCCTGGTTCAGGTTGGCCAAGTAGAAGAGCTGGTAAAGGCTGCTGTCCTCGTAGGTGATGACGTCAAACAGAAGGCAGCCATCCTCCTCGTAGGCGTTGACGTGATGAAAGACCACCACGGGGTCCGTGGAAAACTTGGTGGGCACAGGCTTCCTGGTCCTCTGGTCGATGATGTGAATGTAAGTCTGAAAGCAGAGGCACACCCAGAGGTCAGCTTCCCCCTGCCGGCCCCGCACGATGGCAGTGGGTGCAGGGCAAGACCCAGCCCTCCCCTCCACTAGCTCGTGACCCTGGAGCATCCCCTTCCCCCAGAGCTCCTGGCTGTTGCCGGTCCCTGATTACCTCCTTCAGATGGAGCAGAGGGAATCTTTGCTGCTGGGGCCTCTGCAGCACCAGGAGGACAGAGTCTTGGGGAAGCCCCTGAGACTACACCATCTCTCCCCCCCTTCAATTGACTGACTCCAGGTGGGCTGTGATGAGCTAGCTCCCTGGCAATGGCCACACTGGGGAGAACGGGCCAGTCTTCTAGCCCTCCTTGGGCTCTATCCACAGCCGGAGCCCCTAAAACCCTAAAACCCTAAAACCACACCAGCCCTTTAGGGTTCGTTCTCCCAACGTCCACCTGCTGCCTGGTTGGCCAGGATGCAGTTGTCATGGCAACCTCCCTTATCCTGGGGGCTGTGGTGTGGAGCGACCTGTTCTAGTTAAGGGGCGCACATGGGTATCTGCACACACCTCTGGGTATCATGAGGCGATATCACTCTGGGTGGTAATTAGCCATATTTGCAACCCTAGTTGCCTAATCCAAAGTATGTGTGGGGTTCTTTCTTTTGGCAACTCTGGCCTAACCACCCTCCTTCTGAAAGGCAGAGAGGGACTACTCCAGGCTGGTCTTTGGCCACCTCCTCCCAGCTCATGTGCCTCTTGCTCTCCTTCTCCAGAATCCAGGTTGAACATTAAGTGGGAGTGCAGAGGAGGAAGGCTTTGACAGCGTGGAGGGGTGGTGGTGGTGGGCAAGTGAATATAGAATTATTTTAGCTCTTTTCTTCTCCGTGAACCCAATCCCTGGGTCGGGCACAGAGACTTTTCAGAGAGCTCTCAATGCATTCCAAAGCCCTTGCCCGGGCTTTCTGCCTGCACCTGGCAGCTCGGTCTTCTCTGTGGGATTCTTTGAGGGCCAAGGGATGTCCAGGGGCTGAAGAGCAAACCCAATTACAGCTGGCTTCTCTGCTGGCCCCTGGCCCCAGCGTTCATTCCACAAATACAGACAGAGGGTCTAGGACACATCAGACACTTTTTCAGGAACATTTTTCCAGGAAAGACAGAACAAAACCAAGCCCTTGCTTTCATGGAGCTTATAGTCTGGTGGGGGAGAGGCCAGCAGTCAATGATCAAATAATGTGCCAAGGACAATGAGCACTACTGAGAAAAATGAAGCCAGGTAGGGGATGGAGAAGCCTGGGGCGGGGGTCTGTTAGAGATTGGTTTATCACGAAAGGCTTCAGGGATCTGGACATTTAGCTGAGACCTGGATTAACTGAGGGAGGAAACCATCTGGGGAAGAACATTCCAGGTGGAAAGGACAGAAAATGCAAAGAACGTGTTAGGCTAGTTTGAGATACAGGAGGTCCAAAAGGAGGCTGAATAGGTAGGGAGCCAGTGGTTGGGATGTGGGCCTGTGAGGATTTGCAGGCTGGTCAGTGAAGCCTTTGGATCTTATTCTGAGGAAGATGGGAAATCACAAGAATGTTCTGAGCAGAGGAGGGACCTCACTCTCCTCCCTGAGAAGAAAGGACAGGTCTTAAAGACATATAGTGGTGGTTCCCTCTGGAGAGGGGACTGCCAGTGGCCAGGGGGAGGACAGGGGACTTGACATGTTACTTTCTCTCCTTGTGTACTGTTTGAATAGAGAATACTAAAAATTCCTTGATATTTATCACAAGTAAAAATTTACTCATTTCGGGGCGCCTGGGTGGCTCAGATGGTTAAGCGTCTGCCTTCGGCTCAGGTCATGATCCCGGGGTCCTGGGATCGAGTCCCACATCGGGCTCCCTGCTCAGCGGGGAGCCTGCTTCTCCCTCTGCCTCTCTCTTTCTCTCTCATGAATAAATAAATAAAATCTTAAAAAAAAATTTACTCATTTCAACAGGAAGTAAATATATACACACATATCCATGCACAGATATATTCATACACATACATATGTGCACGCACACACACACACACACACCCGAATATCCAGGCAGGTACACGCACGTATACACACATCCACACTTGGAGCATTCAGGTGTGCCCGAAGATGTTTGGTTGTACCATCTCGTGGAACGCTCTATCATTATGATGTCTAAATCATCTATGGCACCCACCCTTCCCTGACATTACCCAGTGGCTGCCGGGACACTGGAAGGGCCTTGTCCGTGGACGGTGGGAGCTGCAAGGAGCCCAGACATGGGTCAGGACTGAGGAATAGCCCTTGGCCACCGGGCTGGTGCCGACTGCCTGGCTGATGAGAGCCGGCTTGCCCGAGGTCACATGCTTTTCTGACAGATACCGTCTGCTCTACTGACTCATTGACTTGGGGCCCCGGCCCCCTCAACCCCACCTGGGACCACTCTGCAGAACCATCCAGCTTCAGAACTCTCTGGAAGCTTGGCTGATGCTTCCGGGGAGCCTGCACGGTGGCTCACACCCTCCCTCCCTAGGAAACCGCCTGCATGCCAACCTCCATGTCAGTCTGCTTCCTCACTCGGGCCGTCCCTGTGTGGCTGGGGGTCCCAGCCAGGCCTTACCTTGTCCTCCTTGTGGAAAGCCAGGCAGGAGGCCCGGTTCACTCCCCGGATGTATGCAGTTGACATTTTGAGGATATCTAGCTTGAAAGGCTGCTCGAGGAAAACGATGTGGTTCTCGGTGACTCCGAAGCTGTGGTAATAGCTCGGGGAGAGGAGGGAGCCGGAGGTGATGGAGCAGAACACCTCCATGTGCTTCGAGGGGTTCTTCCCCTTCTTGTCCTCTAGAGAAAGGCAAGCCTCAGGAGCAGCACAGGACCTGGCCACCCCCAGACAACGCCCCCATCACCCGCAACTGAGCCTTTCAAACTGACCTGGTCGCTAAGAACCTTTGGATGAGAGCCGACAAGTAAACCGATGAAGGGGCTGTTGCCTGGCTGACGCAGGGGCTCCGAGTGTTCCCACTTAGGCCCTCCTGCCCTGCGAGACCTGGTGCTACAATCTGAAAACATGGAGCCCCAGAGTCAGGCCTCGGGGCCAGGGGTCTGCACGACAGCCTGGGGGCTCAAACCAGCCTCCACCTGTGTTTGCATCAAGGTTTCTTCGAAACACAGCCGCGCTCCCTCCTTTATGCGGGGTCCGTGGCTACCCCTGCTCTTGAGCCTCAGTGGCTTTGCTGAGGAGTTGCAACAGGGACCACAGGTCTGCAAAGCCTCAGATATTCACTCCAGGAAAAGCTTGTCGGCCCCTGCTCTGGAACAACACCTCTTCACGCACACAGATCATCAGGGATCATGATCAAAGTGTGAAGTCTGACTCAGTATGTGGGGCTGGGGCCTGAGGCTCTGCATTTCTATCCAGCGCCCAGGGGATGGGCCAGCTTCCTAGGCTTCGACTTTGATATTTTGCTGAGGCCCATCATTTGAGATGTACCTCACAGGGTTTCCATGAATTTCTCTTCACGCTGACCATTCAGAAACAGCTGGGGGTGAGACTAAGCACCCACTGTGATAAGGGACTGTTACACATCTTGTGACAATGGAAGAAGACCGTATGATCCCCATTTTACGGATGGGAAACTGAGGCGTGATGGAATATGGTCTATCATTATGGCCAAAGACACAAGGGTTAGGCCAAGAAGACACAGCCCTCTTAGCCGGGCCACCTCCTCTGTTATTAGGGATAATAACACTCACAGAGTGGAGAGAGAGAACAGAATGAAATCATGAAGTAGTCCAAGACAGCAGAGGTGCGCAGTACATGTTCGTGCTCTTATTCCTCTGTCAGGATGAGTCACCGCTGGCCAAAAGGCCTCCCCACCCAGGCCTGGGGCTGGCTTACAATGAGTTATCTGCAAGCGTCCCCGCCTTGCTTGTGGCCACCTGGGCACACCATAAACAGCTGGCTGGTGGGAGGGATGCTGTGGGGTTGTGGGGTGGTTCTTTTCTTCACAAAACAAATGGAGCACAAAGCAAACCGAAATGGAAAGCACCCTGGCCTAGGAGGCAGGACCTGGCGTGAATCCCAGGGAAGCCAGCAGCATGGGCCTCATCACCCTATTTTATAATATGACACGGCAAACTCAGATGCCTGTAACATCCGTAGGTCTGACATTCTAGGAGTCTGGCTGGACGCTCTAACCCTTTATTGGCTTGATTCATGGGAGTTCCGTTTAACAAGAATACTCATTGTGCCTTCTGACCTTAGGGGCTCACATCTGCCGACAGAGCCTAGTAAGTAGCTTAGGAGCTTCTACAAGACTATGAGGGAGGGGACCAGCTGGGATCACAGATGGAAGCCAGTTTTCCTAAACCAGCAGGTCAAGCCCGCACCCTCGTCATTCTGCCCTGTCTCCTGAGCCCTGTGCAACCACCCTCAGAGGCCTGGTCTCCTGGGTGTGGTTCCCAGGAGGGTCCTGGACAAATAAGGGTCAGGAGCCTCCTCCCCTCAGGAACATGAAATCACAATTGGCCTGGGCTTTGCTCCAGGTTCCTGGCCTTAAATGGAGAAGGTTCAGAAGGCCCAAAGAAGCGGGGGAGAGTCTGAAAGGCTGAAGGTCTGAGGCAGGGCTGAGCTCCCATAACAATACTAGGAACCTGGCTTCAGGGGCTGGGTTGAAAGTGGGCAGTACAGCTTTGGCATACAAAATTATGTTAGAAAACTGAAAAAAAAATGGATGGAAGGGACGATGTTTGATGGGCGGATGGATGGATGGACAGACAGGTGGTTGGATGGATGATGGATAGATACGTAGACAGATGGATGATGGATAGTTGGGATGGATGATGGATGGACAGACAGATGGATGGATAGGTAAATGGTGGATGAATAATGGATAAATTAATGAATCAATGAACTGGAGCCTAAAGAAAAGCAGGTTAGAATAGTAAAGGAATTTATTCTTTCAAAAGGAAGTCTGGCAACATCTCTTTTACCCTGAAGGAGAAAAGCGTGTTCATGGTCATCTGAATCACCCGTGAGGGAAAGTGTCAGATTGAGTCTTATGTCATCAGTAAAAATCAGAACTCTTTGGAGGTAGCCACCCTTGGCATCTGTCCTTCACGATATCCCCAGAATGACCCACCTGGTACAGTGGCAAGGATCTTAAAGATCACATATTTCGTCTTCCCCTTGTCCATGATGGATGTGCCCATATTAAGAACATTTCCGGCTGCATCATAATGAGGATGTGCTGTTGCCAGATTTACAGCCACGTATTTGCGATAATCAACCTGCAAAATGATAGCCACCTGCTTTTGCAAATGGGGGGAGGGTGAAACTTGATGAAAAGCACCTACTTCTAGGTTGAGAGAGATGAGGGCTACTTTTGCCTATCTCCTGATGTGAAAATAAGGCAGACTTCACCTTTAAAGAGGATGTTTACCCATGTGACCTGATAGCACCTCATGGGTGGCCTCCTACAGCACAGAGGCTGCAGGGGAGTCGGTGAGCCGTGTGTCTTTTCCGTGACGGTTGTTGCAACCCTGCCCCCTGGCCCTGAGGGTGTCCTCAGCATGGCAGCAGGATTCCTCGACACAGAGCAATGACCTGCACAGAGAGGCAGCCTTAGCGCTAATCTTAACCGCTGCTTTGTCTTTCTGCTTACATCATTTAAATTCTCCCCTTTTGCCTGCCACAGAGGCATAAATCTCCAGGCCTCTCTCATAGGATTATTCTGGGAACAGAGAGTTACAAAAACACTTGGTCACAGCGAAACTTGACTAACAAGCCTAGTAATGACCCCCCATCCCCAGCAGGGCACAGCCACAGAATAATGCGTGGCTGAGGAAACAACTGTCCTCCTCTCTTCCCCCAGAAGAGCATGACCTCCGGCCAAAAGTCAGGCAAGGCTTCATTCTCTCTTAGTATTTCCTCTCTGAGGCTTTGTGGAAAGCATACATCAGTTGGATGTATGCCACCCAGCTTAAAAGCTGCTGGACATAATTTCACAGCTAAGAAAAGTATTCCCTTTAACAGATTGTTAAAATGTATTGAGAAGACATTGAGGCTTTGAATAGCCAGCTGGAGAAAAAATGAGTGGGTCTATTGATTTTCATGAAAATGTTGATTTCATTCTGCCCAGGAAAGGTATCTGCTTGGGTATTTATTTTTGTCCTCTTGCTCTCTGCCTGAGGTCTCCCTCTTCAGGTCAATACCAGGTAGGGCTGCTCCAGTCCGGGGAATCCAGTAGTCATTCATTCAAACTCCCATTAAGCTCCCACTCGGTGCCAAGATGGTGGACAGTGGTATGGGTTGAATTGTGTCTTCCAAAATGATATGTTGAAGCCCCAAACCTTGGTATGTATATTTGGAAACAGGGCCTTTATAGATGTAATCAAGTTAAAATGAGGTAATTCTGGAAGGAGGTGCGCCCTAATCCAATGATTTGTATCTCTAGAAGAGATTGGAGTGATGCATCTATAAGCCAAGGAACACCGAGGATTCCTGGCAGCCACCAAAGGCTGGAAGAGGGAAGCCAGCATCTTCCCCTGGAGGCTTCAGAGAGAGCATGGCTCCGAGGACACCCCGATTTCAGATTTCCAGCCTCCAGAATGTGAGAGAATAAATCTCTGTTGTTCTAACCCACCTAGTTTGTGGTACTTTGCTTCGGGAGCCCTAAGAATAAACACAGACACAGAGATGAAACGACATAGACCTCACCCCAAGAGAGCTTAGAATCTAGTGCTAAGTGCTGTGCTGGGGAAGCTCAGGATCCAATGGCATTAGAGGAGGGGCTGCCCCCATGAGTTCCTGCAGGCCACATGGCCCAACACAGGGGGTCTCTCTCTCATGAGCAGGAACTGATGCTGGTTGTAGTAGATTCACTGGTACCTTCTCCAGGGTTTCCAGATTCTGTGGGTTGATTTTCCTGATGTAATTGGTCTCTGTGGTCGCATAGAAGTTTTCTCCACACTTCATGATGTTAATCAGGCAGTTGTCTGTGAAATCAGGGATGGTATGGGACAAGTAGGTGAATGCTCTGTGGAGGAAAGCAGATCAAGAGCAAATCAATGGCTGTGTCTACCCAGCTGGAAAGTTCTGTTCAAGATGGCTTTAGTTTTCCTACCACTTAAAATGCTCTACAATTCAGGGGGAAAAAGTTCCAAGTCCCAAAGGATCACTTGAGGAATCTGGAGGACTTGGAGATCAAGTTGCCCAAAGATACCACTGTGTTGAATTAGCTAAGAAGTGAGTCATCTGGGACAAGATGGCCACCAACTGAACCCTCCTGGGCTCTCAAAAATCCAAAGGTCTCCCACACCAGAGACACCAAGAGCTGGTAGGTTGTTCTGAAGTATTTTAAGAATTTCTACAGAAATCTTATGTATCCATCCATAATGGCCCCCTAAGGCTAGCAAAACAGCTAATCCTTGCTTTTGGAAGGAATGAGAGTCCACAATGGACACTCTGAATTTGTCCAGGAAATTAGTTGTTTTTTTTTTTCTTTAAAGGAAAGTAAACAAATTATGAGAGCAAAACTCATCATTAGTTTGATCAGAAGATCCTGGATCCACGTATTGGTTAGTGCTCCCCCTGCTGGTGAGTGGTGAAGCAGCAAAGCCGCCCGACAAGCGGTGGTTTTGCGTTCCTTCCCTCCCCCTGCCTGGCTCCTCCCCCGCCTGCAAATGCCAGTTCAGTGCTTGCTGTGTGCCAGCCCCAGCACTGGATCCTGGAACTGGAAAGATGACGTCAGTTCCAGAAAAGCAGCAGCAATCTTCCATCTCTGGACCAGTCTACTGCTAGCACATTTCCTAACTCGTCTATATCCGAAGAGTATCAGGAAGGAGACACTGACAGTGGGTCTGATTCCCTGGCCAACAGTTTAATCATCAAGCCTGCACTACATTCATAGTCATCATAGCCCAGATGATTTGAAACGTATTCAACTAAAAACCTTTCCCTATCTCTTTCTCTCATTTGCCAGTTTCCCACCTCACAGATCCTCCCACTTTCTCTACACACATACAAGCAAAAATAAATCCAGATTTCTTCTTGCTTTTTTACACAAAACATAGCATATCATATGCTCTTTCTACACCTTATTCCGCCCTGTGCCCACCACTCAACAAGGTATCTGGGAAATCTTTCCATTCAGCACATAGGGAGCATCCTCATCACCCCCCATCTTTTTTTTTTGCTCCTGCCTGGTATTTTCTTGTACAGCTTCACTCTTATTTATTTAACTACCCTTCTGTTGATGAGCACTTGGGTTATGTTCAGTTCCTCATTATAACAAATGATGCAGCCATGGATAACATTGTACGTTTGCCATTCCAGACGTGAGCAAGCCTATCTCTAGACTGAAGAGAACGTGCATTTATAATTTTTGAGATATAATTCCAAATTGCTTTCCTACCAGCCATATGGAAAAATACCTAATAATCTGTCAGATGCCCTTTGCCTCTTGCTATCAGTGATCAAGAACTGTGTGCCATAGACGGGCAAAGCCTGGCCAGGTGAAGGTTTTCATGTACTCTACAGAGGATTGTCAGAGGAGCGGATGCTGGTAGCTGGTACCTTTTTGATATCCTCAGTGGTCAAAATTAGCTAAGAAGTGAGTCAACTGGGACAAGATGGCCACCAACTGAACCCTCCTGGGCTCTCAAAAATCCAAAGGTCTCCCACACCAGAGACACCAAGAGCTGGTAGGTTGTTCTGAAGTATTTTAAGAATTTCTACAGAAATCTTATGTATCCATCCATAATGGCCCCCTAAGGCTAGCTAGGTTTTGACCACCGAGGATATCAAAAAGCATGACCAGATTCAAAACGGACAGTTACCTGGAAAATATGTTTTTGCAGGAGTCCAGATAGGCCATCGTTCCAAACTCTGACACCACAATCCTGTTGGCCTCGACGTTGACGTTGTAGGTATCACTTCTCAGGTATTTGCTCCTGTAATAGGCTTCACCTAAAAGAGAAGATGCAGAATCGTCCAGGCTGACACTTTTACAGTCAATTTTAAGGTCAGTTTCAGTCAATGTAGGGGTATTACAGGAGGAAAGGTGAGTTCAGTAGGATGGTGCCCTTTAGTGCGTGCTGGCTACAAGGAGCATTTGCAGTGAGCTCTCACACACATTTCCTCACTTGAGACAACAATATGGCAAGGTAAGTATCCGTATGAGCTCCATTTACATAGCAGGGGACTGAGGCTCAGACATGTTCAGTCACCTTGCCAAGAGGTGCTGATCTGGCCCATTGACCATCTCTTCCACCATGCTAGTATCCCTCTAGAAAAGGTCCGGATTTGGAGGACTGGTCCAGAAGGCCTCATACTTGGGCTGGGTTTCCCTAGGACCTGGTTTAGCCCTAGAAACCTTCCATTGACCATTTCAGCCCCTGGAGTAATATTTGATACCTACTACAGCCAGAGGATGACCTAGCACCTGATTCCATATACAGTAAAGTGCTCATACCTGTGTGGAGGTCTCATTCACATAGACACTGGAGAAAATCTAACTCACTGCATACAAGCAGGGATTCTTGACCAGTTCATCAAGACCAACCTGAAAATGTATGTATGTTTCTAGACCCGTATTAGGTTCCTATGGCTGTTGTAACAAATTACCACAAACTTAGTGGCTTAAAATGACACAAATTTGTTATCTTACCATTTTGGAAGATGTAGCCTGAATGGGTCTTACAGGCCTAAAAAGCAAGGTGTCAGCAGGGAAATCTATTTCTGGCTTTTCTAGCTTCTAGAAGTTGCCTGCATTGCTTGGCTTATGGTTACATGACTCTGACCTCTGATTCTATGGTCACATCTTTTCTGACTCTGACCTCCCTCTTTCCCTTGTGATGACGCTTGTAATTATACTGAGCCCACCTGGATAATCTCTCCACCTCAAGGTCCTTAACTTAATCACATCTGCAAAGACCCTTTTACTTTGCAGAGTCATATAATATAGTCACAGTTTCCTTCTGGAAGAGAAAGGGGAGCAGGGGTGGGGGAGAAGAGAGGAGAGAGCTGAGGAGGCTCAGCTGGGAGTGGATGGATCAGGAAAGGCTTCCTGGAGGAGGTGGGACTTGAAATGGCCCTTGGAAGATGAATAAAATTATTTGCCCTCCATAGACTGGGGAGGAGGCAAGTAGGAGAGAGAGTAGCGCATTTCCATTCACTCTTCCTTGAAAGTCTGAAAGCAAAGGCCTGGAGGTGGGAAAGGCAGCCCACCTCCTGCAGGACTGAGTAACATGGTTTTCATCATGGGGCAGGGGCTTGGGAGCAGCAGGAATGGGATGAGGTTAAGGGGTGGGGGCCCTACTGGCATATATGAGGCTTTCAAACCATTTGGTGGACAATTTGAAACCTGTAGGTTTTTAAATTTTTATTTAATTTTGCTGTTAATTAGCAAGTGACGTGTTGACTTTTCCCTGCTATAGAATACATTCTTTGCTGTAATATAATATATGCTTCCAATGTTGGTTCAAATATAATATGCAAAAAGCCCAGGTCATACTGACATTTCATTCCCATAAAACAAGTTGATTAGAGAAATATCCATCATGTATCCACTGTCATGATGATGGGCTTAGGAGAGAACAACTTCCCAAGAAATTCTTGTCTGGTGACTTTTTATATCTAAGAAACGAAACAGGGCTAAGAGCTAACATCTATTGTGCACATGTGTGCTAAGTACTGTGTGGACACTTTATGTGTATTTTTTCTGGTTTGATTCTAAAACATTGGAAGTGTATAGAATACACCAACCAGAAATGTGTTCTTTGGGGGGGGGGGAAATCAACCTAATGTCATTTGCTAATCAACAACAAAATAAGAAAATTTAAGCACTTGAAGGTTTCAAATTTCTTACCAAATGAAGTACAAGGGGCTTAGGCACTCATGACCCTGCAGGCCCAGTTCCAGTGAGTAAAATTGAGGCACAGAGAGGTTAAGTACCTTGCTTTAAGCCACACAGCTAGGGAGGGGTAAGCTGGATTCAAAGCTGACACGGCCACCACCGTGAGTTTGACCATTCCGTCTGATCCTTGTTATTAAAAACGCACCTCTGGAAATGGGCTACCATAACTGCATGGCTTGCTGAAGCTTCACAAACTGAACTGACCCATATGAACTACATCCTAGTTAGCAGAACATGAGAACCCCCTGGAGGCCCCTCATAACTTGTCCAGTCACAAGCTTCTCCCCTCCCTGCCCCGTGAGCCACTATTTTGACCCTAATAGTCTCTATTAGTTTTGCTCTCGGGATTGTGTTTTCATGTCCATCTCCAAAGGATGTGAGTGTTCGTTTCAGTGGTAAGGACTCCAGCCTGTGTACCTAGATGGAAATAATAGCAATAATGGTGATGCTAGTCTTCATAAAATTGGAAGAGACCACGAAAGACCTTCTAGTTCTTTCTCCAGGCTTTGGGAGGTAAACTGTGTGTGCTCAGGGGAAGATCACCATCTATCCTATTCTCAAACGTCTTTTCACAGGTGGCTGCTGTGAAAATAAGTATCACTGAGATATTTCAGGAGCGGGGGCTCTGTTCTGGGCCTGCAGGAAGAAATAAGGAGGAATGACTTTGAGTTAACCCAGCCCTCGGTTCGTGTGTTCAACCAGTATCTATTAATCACCTTGGTGGGCCAGGAAGTGGGGGCGAGCAGCGTAGTCACATCTCTACTCCTGAGGGGATTCAGGTCTCCAAGTGGCTATGAATCCTACTCTGTCATCTACTGACCATGCACTTGACCTCATGTCAGAGTCAACACTTGGTCCTCTCTGCTCTGATGTGAGGATCATGATATGTTTCTTATGGAGTTGCTGTGATGCTTAAGGCTTGTAAAGCATTCAGCACATAGTAGGTGCTCAATAAAAGCTACATATGCTACTGAGATGCAGTGGGTAGAGTGGGCAGGCTTTGGTTCCAGGGTTAGTCCTAATCCCAGCCATGTGACCTTGGGTGAGTCTCTTTATCTCACTGAACCTCAGTTTTCTCAACTGGAAATTAGGGATCATGCAGCCCTCCCCAGATAGGATTGCAGTTTTAAATGAGATGGGATGATACAAGGAGTTAGGCCCATTGGTACACAGCATGCACTTGCTAAGTAATGGCTGTGGAAATTTGGAATTGTCCAACAAAATCCTGGAGGCAGGAAGACTCAGCTGGGGGTTGGTGAGGCCACACACACTGGTCTTTGGTCACATGCTACATAGACCCTACTTCACGGCACCCTGGTCTCCCCCTGAATCAGCCTGTCCTTCGCTGGTCACTCTCTGAGGGTCACCACCTACAAGCACTGGCTAAGGTGCTTTCCCTAAAATGCTGAATTAAGTTCACTTGAAATGTAAACACCCATCCCAGGCTGGCTGTCAGCAGGTGGCCCATTTCCTATAAACAACCAGCCTCAGAGCACACATGGAGGGCTCAGGGGCCACAGGAAAACATGTCTCTGGAATTACTCAAAGCTGACACTCAACTCTGAGGCTGAGATTAAAGAAGGCCACCACACATTCCTCAGAACTTTGCTCCCTGGTGAGCCCCAATTAGCCACATTCCTTCTAAAGGGACACAAGTAAACAGATGTGCTCCTGCCTGGAATCTTCTAGAATTGGGTCAAGTTTGATATTCTGGGGGGAGTGGGAGATTTTATATATATATATATATCTACCTCCAATTTAAGAAAACTTCCAAAAGGCTAGTTTAGAGCTATAATAATTGAAAAAGCTTCAGAAAAGGCTAAATTCTGGAGAACTTTTTGTCTCTAAACCTTCGTGATGCTGGCTCTTGGAATTCACATGTTCAAATCCTCGTGGGACAACGACCTTGCCTCTAAATAAAAAATTATCAAAATGTACTGCTGAGGGAGACTTGAATTCATTCATCTCTATGCCTGCTTTATAAAAATTTTTAATTTTGAAATAATTTTAAGGGTGCCTGGGTGGCTCATTTGGTTGAGTGTCCGAAACTTGATCTCAGCTCAGGTCTTGATCTCAGGGTGATGAGTTCAAGCCCTGTGCTGGGCGTGAAGCCTACTTTAAAAACAAAAACAAAAACAAAAACTGAAATTATTTTAGACTTACAAAAAAGAGCACTCCTATATACCCTTTGTCTGTCTGGCTTCTCCTCCACTCTGCTCCTTTAGTTAAATCTTAGGTTTTTAAAACATTAACTTTCACTGGTTTCTGCTGAAGGCCACAAACCATTTTTCTATCTTTCTGCTTTCTTATTCCAGTCTTTTCTTACTGATTTGGGTTTTCCATGCTGGCTGTACACTCATCACCTGGTGCTTTGAAACAGTGGCAGAAGCCTCAGCCCCACCTCCACGGTGCGCTGATGAACTTGGTCTTGGGTGGGATAGGGCAGCTAGACTGGAGGTTCACTGCAGAGGTTTTCTTTTTTTTTTTTTATTAACACATAATGTATTATTTGTTTCAGGGGTACAGGTCTGTGATTCATCAGTCTTACACAATTCACAGCACTCACCATAGCACATATCCTCCCCAACGTCCATCACCCAGCCACTTTATTCCTCCCAACCACCCCCGACTCTAGAAACCCTCAGTTTGTTTCCTGAGATTAAGAGTCTCTTGGGGCGCCTGGGTGGCTCAGTTGGTTAAGCGACTGCCTTCGGCTCAGGTCATGATCCTGGGGTCCCTGGATCGAGTCCCGCATCGGGCTCCCTGCTCTGCAGGGAGTCTGCTTCTCCCTCTGACCCTCCCCGCTCTCATGCTCTCTCTCTCTCAAATAAATAAATAAAATATTAAAAAAAAAAAAGAGTCTCTTATGGTTTGTCTCCCTCTCTGGCTTCGTCTTGTTTCATTTTTCCCTCCCTTCCCCTATGATCCTCTGTCTTGTTTCTCAAATTCCTCATATCAGTGAGATCATATGATAATTGTCTTTCTCTGATTGACTTATTTTGCTTAGCATAATACCCTCTAGTTCAATCAACGTCATTGCAAATGGCAAGATTTCATTTTTTGATGGCTGCATAATATTCCATTGTATATATATACCACATCTTCTTTATCCATTCATCTGTCAATGGACATCTAGGCTCTTTCCATAGTTTGGCTATTGTGGACATTACTGCTATAAACATTGGGGCGCACATGTCCCTTCAGATCACTACATTTGTATCTTTGGGGTAAATACCCAGTAGTGCAATTGCGGGGTTGTAGGGTAGCTCTATTTTCAACTTTTTGAGGAACCTCCATACTGCTTTCCAGAGTGGCTGCACCAGCTCACTGCAGAGGTTTTCTGAAACCTCAGTGTGCTCAGGGCCATCTAGGAGATGTATTAGAAACACCGATACTCTGGGGCGCCTGGGTGGCTCAGTTGGTTAAGCGACTGCCTTCGGCTCAGGTCATGATCCTGGGAGTCCCAGGATCGAGTCCCGCATCGGACTCCCTGCTCAGCAGGGAGTCTGCTTCTCCCTCTGATCCTCCCCCCTCCCATGCTCTCTCTCTCTGTCTCATTCTCTCTCTCAAATAAATAAATAAAATCTTAAAAAAAAAAAGAAAGAAAGAAACACCGATACTCTGACTGTGCCCTTCAGGATTATGATTCACTCAGCCCTGGGTGGGGTCTCAGAATTTGGAGTTTTAATCCTAGGGGATTCCGATGTAAGAGGTACACAAACCACCTTTTGAGAAATACTGGCTTTGTGTTATCTGTAAATCAGAGAACCCTGCTCACCCTGTGCATGTCCTCTTGAATCATGTATAGTAGTACTTAACATTTCTGGTTTGTGTTTCTACTCTTGGGGAGTTGAGTGGGGAGCCATTGAAAGTTGTAGAGGAGAGGAGAGATGAGGCCAGGCTGTGCCGCACTAATGTTGGCAATCTGACAGCCTTGAGAGGATTGGGCTGGAGAGATGAGGAGGGAGGGTAGCCAGCAAGAGGGGGAAGCAGAGCAGAACAGCATAAATCTTCGGTCATGAGATTCTAGATTTAGAGAGCATTGGGTTTATATCTGACATCCACCACTTCCTAGCTGTGTGCCTTTGGGCAAGTTACTTAGCCTCTCTGGGTGTCAGGCTCATCTGTAAAATCAAGAGGTACCTTCCTCAGAAGCTGTAGTGAGGGCTGAGTTGTGGGTGGGCACAAAGCACTTGGGCCAGTGGCCAGCAAGCACTCCCTGTAGTGAGTGTTGAAGAGATCGACTGGGAACATATTGCTTCCTTCTCCCAAAACAACCTTTACCTCGTTCATGCCATTTGGGCTCCATAAAGAGTTTCCTAGCACCCCTCTGGGCCAGGCCCAGTGCCAGGTAATGAAGACACAACAATTTGAACAGAAACCCTGTGTCCTGGGGCCTCCCACCCTAGGCTGGAGAATGGCAAGCTGATCATTGCAAAGCAGAGTAGGGCATGTACCTTCAACACAGGCCAGGTTCAAGAGCAGGATGGGGAAGGACGAGTAATTGAGTGGACTCTCTGTACTTCCCATTTTCCAGCCAGTTCCAGATTATGCATAGAATCGAGTCTTTCATGCTATTGCATATTTTTTTTAATTTTTCTGTATATTATGTTTTGGTATCTTAATAAACCTTTCTGGTTGGAGGAGACTGTCCTTCCCTGGACTAGCCAATTCTTAGAGGTAGCAAAAGGCCCAGCATATCTGTGAGATGAAAACTAACCATTCCAGAGCCAGATCTCCTCTCTCTGGCCCACGCACTCCAGGAAGCAATATTCCTCTGCCTTCATCACCCCAGGGCCAGGTGCCAAGCACCAGAGACCACCCCCGAAGTCCAAAGCCTGCCAGCACTATTCACACCAGCTGATCCTAAGCTGTTTACTCTGTTCCATCTTGTCTTTCCCTCAGAAACCCCAGGACAGGCCATTGCCTATGTGCTTCCCCTGCTCCTGTCTTCTGCCTCTGGACCACCTTGTTGCTATCCACTGTGGACCACTGTGACATGCCGTGCCTCCTAGGACCTGTGAGTATAATAGGCTTTGTTCCCAAGCCTCTCTCTTTCTCCTTTTGTGGTCACACCTAACTGACCATCCCATAAAAGATAATAAAACAGGTACTTACCTTTGACAATGGATTTTTAATTTGAAAATCTACTAGAGGGCGCCTGGGTGGCTCAGTTGGTTAAGCGACTGCCTTCGGCTCAGGTCATGATCCTGGAGTCCCGGGATCGAGTACCGCATCGGGCTCCCTGCTCAGCGGGGAGTCTGCTTCTCCCTCTGACCCTCCCCCCTCTCATGCTCTATCTCATTCTCTCTCACAAATAAATAAATTAAATTAAAAAAAAAAGATTTATGAAAATCTACTAGAAACCTTTAGAAAGTTTAAGCAGCATGGGTTAACTTTGGTCATGTGCCTGTTTAGCCCACTCAAGGATTTTGGTGGATGGCAGCCATGCTTCTGAAAGACAGCCATGGATTGGTCATCCCCTACTGGTTCTCTTGTCCCCAGAGTCTCTATGGAAGGATGTGGAAACCACCATTCAGTAAGCTGTGAGGGCTCATTTAAGCTACCTGCCGTTTCTCAGGGGGATGTGTAGGGGTGGGAGGAGGAGAGCAGGGAGGGTTGCAAACTTGAACCCTAGACAAAACAAGTCAGATCCTAGCCCTACGTCAGTGACCTTGCTCGGTTAAGTCACTCAACCTCTCTAAAGTTCCCATTTCCGCGTCTGCAAAGAGAGGACAAAGCACACCTCCCACGCAGTGCTAATGTGAGCACCTGAAATGGACCACAAGGGACCTGACAGCATGGCAAAGCAGGGCCTTCTGGAAAGGAAGCCAGTGTACTTTTACCTTTCATGCATGTCATCCAGAACAGCGTTGATTTCCCTAGGAATCATTGGTAACTTCTGTCAGGAGAGGAGGGGACTGTTAAGGCTTAGAGCTGTCAGCAAATATGGAACTCACTCTGTAGCTGAGTCTCAGTAAAATCTGTTAAGTTTTTGCAAACTCAGAGCTCATGGTTTTCACACATGGGGTCTCTATTCATGAAATCTTAGAGCAAGCCACTGGCATAGAGTCTGCCCCCCAAAAATAATTGCTCACTGGCTTAGACGAAATAGTAATTAAGCAAAAATAACACTAATGCTTTTTGAGCACATGTTCTGTGCCAGGTATTATACAAAGCTCCTTACACATATTAATGCCTTTAAATTCCTTAAATTCCACATTCCTGATATCTCCATTTTACAGATGGGGAGACAGAAAGGGTCAGTAACTTGGCCAAGGTCACACAGCTTGGGTGCATGTTAGCTAGGATGAAGACAGGATTCAAACCCAGTGACAGTGATGGTGGTTTTCAATCTATTCTGTGCCTACCAGGTGTCAGGCCCTTGCTAGATACCTGGCCCTTCTAATGATCATGACAGCTCTCCAGAGGGGATCATCAAGCTCTTTTTACTGCAGTGGACATGGAGGCCAAGGGAGGTGAAGTGACCTGTTTGTCATGCTGGAATGCAGGGTTTAAAGAAAAATGTCACCAAGCTGAAGCATTAGGACACGAACTTCCCCAGCATGTGACTCTGAGCCTGCTAAAGCCTCATGTGACCCATCCCAGACCTCTTTAGGAACTCAGAGCATGCTGTTGTGACATACAGCAGCTTCATGGCCAACAGCAAAGAGTTTACCATCCACCTCGTGAGCCAGTCACCTGAACCCAGAATTCTGCCTTATTCAGCCATTTCAGTCTCCCCTCTGGGAGAGCCACTGAACTTGTGGCTTGAGTGACTGGTCTCCCTTGCCTGGTGAGCAATCTACTCAGCTCTGTTCCTTTCAGCTCTGTTCTCTTCCTATTCTGATTTGAGGCATGTCTGACTCCAAAGCCAGTAATCTCCTCCTGCTCTCACCCATCCTAATGAGAATGCATATCATTTTGCAGGTTAGGCTCTCTGAAAGAGAACCTTGGCCACCTTTCCAGGGAGGTTTGTGCTTGTGGTTGGCGGAATGATGGCCTCTCCAAGATGTCCATGTTTTAATCCCTGAAACCTATGAAGTTGTTACCTTATAGGGCAATGCTGACATGATTATATTAAAGGTTTTGAGAAGGGAGATGATCCTGGATTATCTGGGTGGGCCCAATACCATCACAAAGGTCCTTATAAGAGGCAGACAGGAAGGTCAGAGAAGGAACTGATTATGGAAGTGAGGGAAGTGGGGAGAGTGAGGGAGAGAGAGCAGGTGTGCAAGATGCTCTGCTGCTTTTGCAGGTGCAGCTGGGGCCACAAGCCAAGGAATGCAGGCAGCCTCTAGAAGCCGGAAAAGGCAAGGAAATGGGCTATCTCCCTGGAGCCTCCAACACCTTGATTTTAGCCCAGTTTTGACTTGACTTTCATAACTGTAAGAATAAATTAGTGCTGTTTTAAGCTACTAAATTTGTGGTTGTCTTTACAGCAGCAACGGCAAACCAACACAGTACTCTTACTGTCTCTAACTGTGAAGCTGTGGAGCAAGGCCAGGCCATCAAACCAATGGTTGTACCTAGTCTCCCCCACTGTGTGCATTCCAGGCCCGTTGCTCAGCAGGGTGCCCTGCAGCCATGTGGGAATCCTGCCTATTAAGAGAAAGAATGTTTTGTTTCCACAAATAATGCAATATATGTCAAGGAAAAAAAAAAGAAAAAGGTAGCGGGAGGGGAAGAATGAAGTGGGGGAAATCGGAGGGGTAGACGAACCATGAGAGACGATGGACTCTGAAAAACAAACTGAGGGTTCTAGAGGGGAGGGGGGTGGGAGGATGGGTTAGCCTGGTGGTGGGTATTGAGGAGGGCACATTCTGCATGGAGCACTGGGTGTTATGCACAAACAATGAATCATGGAACACTTCATCTAAAACTAATGATGTAATGTATGGGGATTAACATAAGAATTAAAAAAAAAGATTAAAAAAAAAAAAAAAAAGAATGTTTTGTTTCCAGTTTGCACATCCCAACCAAAAAGCTACGAGATGTGGCCATGGAAAGGAATTGAGGTCACAGACCCAACACGACTCACTCCACCCACTCATTCCTTCAGCAGTCGCTTCCAGAAAGGGTAGGATATGCCTGGATTGTGCCAGCAGTGAGGATACCGAGATGAACTGACGTCATCCCTGTCCTCAAGTTGCTCGCTACCCACGGAGCAGACGGATGAACAGACACCCAAACCACACCACAATAAAGGAAGGCAATGTGACAGGCTCAGCAAGGGGGCCGTGTGGAATAGAACCTCACCTCCAGGTGGGGTGAGAGCAGGAGGGTTGGGCCTGCTTCCTGGAGGAGCCACTGGCTGAGTCTTGAAGGGGAGTAGGTAGTGGCTTTCCAAAGGTGGGGAAAGAACATTCTAGAACTGTGCTGCCCAATATGGTAGCCACCGGTCTCATGTGGCCACGGAGGACTTGAAACCTGGCCAGTCTGAACAGAGATGTGCTGTAAAGTGTAAAATACACACTGAATTTCAAAGGCTAAGTATGAAAAAAAATGTAAAATATCTCAATAGCAACTTAAAAAACATTGATTACATGTTGAACTTATAATATTTTGGATATGTTGCCTTAAAAAATAAACAGTTAAAATTCACTTTTTTTTTTTAACCTTTTTGAGTGTGGCTATTAGGACATTTAAAACTATGCACGTGGCATGCATTATATCTCTGTTCAACAGCACAGCTCTAGAGGTAGGGTCCTGGAACAGACGCTGTTGGTGCCCCACCCTTGTCCTCTTGGCACTGGCCTCTCCCTGAAGGTTGCTTTCTGCCACTACCTGCAGCTCTCTGCCTGAGGGCTTTGTTTTCACTGCAGGAGATGATCTGCCCACACACTGGGCAAGCTGGAACACCCTGGAGTTAATGCCCCTGGAAGTGGCTGTCACCTAAAGATGGATGGGGAGTTCGGCATCACTTGTCACCACTTCTTTGCCCTCAGCTGGGACAATATGAGGCATGTTAAACTATGCCCAGAGGGCTCAGCTCTGATGGCTCACAGTGGTCAGTGGCTTGACAATGCCCTTTTATTGGTTTCCCTCCCAGTGTTTCTTGGGATCACATCCCAAATTAAACTACTTACATCTGAATTCTTATCTCTGGGGGAACCTGAACCAAGAGATCAAAGACCAGGTCAAAGACCAGGAGATGTGCCAGTTGTTTAGCAAGACTGGTCTGCAATTTTCGAGTGAGGAAGCCTAAGCATTGAGGCTGGAGAGCTAAGCAGAGACCATGTGACAAAGGTCAATGAGACCACACCAAGGGCTTTGATTAGACACTCAGAAGAATGGTACAACTTGGCCAGTTAAAACAGGGAATGAGAGGATCTGATTTTTGTGCGTGTGCAATTTTTTTCTTGAGATAAAATTCACATAACAACAACAAAAAAAATCCACCATTTTAAGGTATACAATTCAAGGGTTTTTAATATATTCACAATGTTATGCAATCATCACCATCTAGTTCCAGAACATTCTATCACCCCAAAACAAAGTCCTGTCCTCCTGAAAACCACTCATCTACTTTCTAAGGATCTACCTCTTCTGGACAGCTCACATGAATGTAATATGCTCAGATTTGGGGTTTCAAAAGTTGTCTCTGTGGTGTAGAGCGTGGTGGGAGGAGGAGCCAAGAAGAGGTGGGAAGACCAGAGAGAGGGTGGAGAGAAACAACAGAACAGAGAGTTGGAGGATGTGGAATGGACAGGACTGGGAGTCTGAGTGAATAGGGGGGAGAGGGGAGGGAGCACCCCAAGTGCCACCAAGTCTCCTGCCTTGGGCAACTAAGTGAATAGTGGGGCTATTCACAGAGACCCAGTTGCAGGAGAAGGAGCAGACGAGGCAGAGCAGAGAGAGATGAATCTAAGCACAGTCAAAGCCCTAGATAGAAGAACACATATTGAGCACCATGTGCCAGGCACTGGGGGGCAGGTGGCATTAAATCATATAATCATGGCAGCAACCCTATGTGGTAGGTACACGCGGACTGTTTGACATAAGAGGGAACTGAGGCAGGAAATGCTTAAGTAACTGGCCAAGGAGGTCTCAGAGCTAACAGTGCACAGCCCAACATGAAGCCTGGACATGGCCTCTGTGGGCAGACATGGCCACACAGGCACAATCTTTAGTTAGCAGTTGGCCAATGATTAGACTTGACCCAGGACTGGAGGCCTGGACTGAGGGTTGGGAGCCTGTCCTTCACTGGCTGCCCTGGCCTTGGGCAAGTTGCAGCCCCTCTCCAGCCCTCAGCTTCCCTCAAGGACGGAGGCGTGATTTACAGCAGTGGTTCTCACACTTGGAAGCAGCCAGAGGGCTTGCAGAAACACAGATTGCTGGGCTCTGCCCCCAGCATATCTGATTCCATGGGTCTGGAGTGGACCCAGGAATTCGTGATTCTAACAAGCGCCCAGGTGATGGGGAAGCTGCAGGTGTAGGGTGGAGGTGGGGAGAACCGCTGATCTGGATCCAGGGGTCCACTCAGATCTGCAGGTTCTAGGATTCCGGCTTTCTAAAATTTCCAAGGATTTCCATGCAGTCATTAAACATAACGCTTATGGGCAACATGTTCATGGCATCCCTGAACATAAAAGGATAGCTATTGGAGGCTCTCTTTTTTAAAATAAAAAATTAATAGTAAATATACATTTGTTTTTGAAAAAAATATTTGTAGTCTATACAATCTTTATCTTTTAAAAACTCAAAATACTCCAATATTAGGAGTGCTTGAGATGAAAATACAGCTGATTTTATTTCCCTGTGTTCCCATTAGCACTTCCAAGTTTTTATATATGTACATATACATAAAACACACACACATATAGATCCTACGTTACCTTCGCAATCAGAGAAAAACAAACATAAAAGCTATTCTTTGAAAAGCCTTCCAAGGCAATTCCTTGGTTGAAAAGCTCCAATCTGACTTTCCTCACAGAGAAATGCTCACTCAGGAAAAACCTCCAGATCCGAGTATCTGAAGATGAAACTGCCTATGTGCCTGAGCCAGCTCACTCGCCCTTCTCAGGGACAGCATAGAAGGAGAGAGCCAGAGAAATAACAGATGACGGAAATGAGACACAAAGCCTGATAAAGGAATTCTCCCATGGAGGGTCCCACTCTGGGTCTGTTGGACTTATGGCTCTGCAGGTACTCGAGGGCCCAGATCAAGCTGTGGGCTCCTGCGAGGAAATCAAGACATGCTCTGCACGCCCTCCAGCTTGCACACGCGAAAGTGGGAGCCCACGTGCACATCTCATGCCATTTTGAAATTAACTTAGGTTGCACATATTTGCACAAAGGTACCACCCACTTGGAATGGGCCACACTTTGCCGAATAATTCCATTGTATCCATGCCAGTCATAGCCTCCCCAGGCTCTTCCCCTGAAGTAGTGAGAACGACTCTCCCTCTCCCTGGAAACAGTTTCGGTGCATAAAAAGCACACCTAGATTTTTACAGAGAATACGTCTGGATTGTGGATCATTCCCCACTATATACTGTTTTCCAGATTTTCCAAAAATAATTTACAGTAAATATTTCTTTCATAAACAGAAAAAAAGTGTATGTCTAAACACATAAGAAGAGCCCGCCATCTTTACGAAACGCTCACCTGTCACTTTGGCCCTCACAGGTTCCAGCTGCTCCTTCTCATTTCTGCCAAATATTATATCCATGGCATGGGGCGCTGAGCGGGAGTGATACTGACAGTGAGCAGACACTCTGCTGTGTTCAAGGCAACTGCTTGCTTTTCGGCTCCTCCTTTTCTTTCCTTTCTGCTCTGCTGCAGCTTCCTTCTCTTATATCTCCTTCCCTCCCGATGCCCTGAGAGCCTGGTATCTCTTCGCGCACAGCACATGGCGGGGGGGGGGGGGGGGGGGGGAGCTGCGCCGGCGTTCTTTATCTGTGGTCAAAGGTCAATTCCCCAGCCTGAGTCCTGTCTAAACTTTAACCCTCTTATTGTATCCCCAACTCCCTTTCCAGTTCCACTCTGGCTTAAGCAAGAAAAGCTAGTCTTCTGCTGGGTTTAAATTGGTGGGATAATTCAGTGGGTGCATTCTGTGTAGGTATGCAGCCTGAAATAATCCAGCCCAGGAGGTGGAGAGGATTTATGATCAGAACAAGAACAGTGGGGTGCCTGGGTGGCTCAGTCGGTTAAGCGACTGCCTTCGGCTCAGGTCATGATCCTGGAGTCCCGGGATCGAGTCCCGCATCGGGCTCCCTGCTTGGCAGGGAGTCTGCTTCTCCCTCTGACCCTCCTCCCTCTCATGCTCTATCTCATTCTCTCTGTCTCAAATAAATAAATAAAATCTTTAAAAAAAAAAAAAGAACAAGAACAGAAACTATCAGGACCTGGGATTAGGGGAGCTGAGAGTGCATCAATCGCTAGAATTCCTTCTGCACATGGTGGGAACTTCTTCAGCAGAGAGAGCGTTTTTGTTTTGTTTTGAATAAAGGTCCCTGAGCCTCCCCCTCCTTAAAAAATCGTATTCAAAGAGCAACTTAATTTATGATATTTCTTTTTTGGAGAAGTAAACACAAAATGTTTACCCATTTAAACCATAAATATAGGGAACCAAAAACTCTACTTGAGGACAGTGAGGAATTGTAATAAAACAAAACAAAACAAAAAAACAAATGTCAGTTCGACTTCCTGGTCTAACAGGAGCTAGAAAGGATGCCCATCTGTGATTTCAGAGTCTCCTGTATTTGTGCCTCTTGGTGTGATGCCATTGCCTAAAATCCATATTCAAGTGGCTTTGAATGTTGATGAGTTAATGGACTCTTCTGTACTCCTCTTGCTTAAAGAAAGCAGCAGCTGTTTCCTTTCTGGGTAGAGGAAGACAGGGTGTGGTGCTGGTCTTTACGTGGCTGCTGAGTACAGTTCGTGTCAGGTCTGGGCCGCGACCGCGTTCCTGGATCTGGGAGCCCGGTCCGGACAGCTGCCTGGTCTGGCTGCGCGCCCACCCCCGGCTGCACACTCCAATCACCTGGCTGCATGCGCTCAGGGTCCAGCGCTGAGCCTCACTACACACCCACTGATGCAGGATCTCTCAAGGGGGAGTCCAGCCCTGGGTGGTCTTAAACATGTCTTGGATGATTCTGATTCTCGGCAGCTGTTGAGGAGCCCTGGTCCAGGCGAAGATGCTGCGTGTTTGGGTTGATACTAGATTCAGATTCTTCCCTTTTCTATGTGTCTGCCTTATCCTCTCTGAGCTTCCATTTCCTTAACTGTAAAATGGGGGTATAATGATATCAAAATCCCAAAGTATTGTAAATCAAGAGTCTAGCAAAAGCACCTGGGCCCAAACACTACCAATTATTATTACCCTTTCTTCCCCATTTGCTCAGAAGGCATTCCCTTTAACCCACATTTTCCATTCAGTCCCATAACTTGCCAGTTTATTCTTCTGTCTGGTCTAAACATGTGGATCCATGTCAGGGTTATTATTCCTAGGTTGTGAAAGCTGTGTCTTCATGGGGGTTAAATGAGAATGTCTGGCATAAACCATGGGCTCAGGAAAAAATTTGCACCATGAGAGGCAGCAGCTCTGGTGCAGGAAAAAAAAGAAAAAAGAGCTAAAGTCAGAAGATCTACTGGGATTTCAGGGCTGTGATTTAAAAAGTGTGACTGTTGTGACAACCCCTCTGAACCTCACTTTACTCTGCGAAACAGGGTGGCAATACCTGGGCCACAGGGTTTGTAGGGAGGACAATACTGAAATTACAGAAGGGAAAACATGACCGTGTCTTTCTTGTGCATTTTGTATATTCAGCAAAGCAATGACCCCCATCCATATCAAGCACCTTCTCTGAGTCCAGTGCTTTGCAAAGTATTCTACGTGCACTAGCTTGCTCTGACTTTATATAATCCTATGAGATGGGTATTCTTAGCATTATTCTAGAGATGTAAAAAGTCAGGAAAGAAAACCAACTTGCCTTAGGTCACACAGCGTCTAGGAGACAATTAGGAAGCCAAGCTGGGCAGCCTGACTCCAAAGTATACACTCTGTGACAATTCTACTCAGTGCCTATGCATGATGGATGTTTGCTAGATTTTTGTGGAATGAAGTAATGGGTAGATGTGTCGATGGGTGGAGGACGCACGAGGGCCAGTCTTGGGTTGACATCATTGCCCTGTTATATAATACTGAGAAACCAAGGCCAGCTTTCTTTTTTCAGGCCCCAACTGTACCCCGGGGACAATTATATGTTGAGGTCAGAATTTTTTGATAATGGGGATAATAAATTGATCATAACAATGTCTATCTGTATTAGTTTTCTAGGGCTACCATAACAAAGTACCACTGGGTGGCTTAAATAGCACAAGTTTGCTTTCTTACACTTCTGGAGGCTGGAAGCCCAAAATCAAAGTGTTAGCAGGGCTGGCTTCTTCTGAGGCCTCTCTCCCTGGTGTAGATGGCCATCTTTCTCACCGTGTCCTTACATGGTCATTCCTCTGGGCATATGTATCCCTGGCTGTGTGTCCAAATTTCCTCTTCTTATAAGGACACCAGTCAGGGTGGATTAGGGCCCACCCTAATGGACTCATTTTAATTTAATCACCTCTTTAAAGGCTCTGTCTCAAACGCAGTTACATTCCGAGGTGCTCCAGAATGTGAATCTTGGGGTGGGGAAGAGGAAGACACAACTCAGCTCATAATGATATTATGAAGGTTCAAAGAGTTAAGGGAAGATGCTTTGGCTGGAAGTAACAGAATATCTGCAGAAACCCTGAGGATGTGACTTTGTCTCAGACAGCAAGGCATCTGGGGATCCTGGGTGGCCCAGAAGCTCATCCGGACCATCTCACCAGGCACCACAATGCCATCCTCAGGGGGATGGCTTCTCATCCTTGGGCTTGCTCAGTTTTGCTTATGAGTGATTGCTTTCAACCCAGGAATCATGTCCTTCCATAATAACGTGCTAAAGCAGAAACACACAGTGGGGGGGAAAGGAGGCATTTCCTTCTTATAGCTCCCTCTCTTTATGCCAAGGAAAACCTTTCCCAGAATCCCCTGAGCAGATTTTTCTCTTAGTCTCATTGGCTAAATGGTGTCCCATGACCCCCCCTAGACCAATTCCTGGCAAGGAGGAGTAGCTATGCCCTGATTTTTTTTAAACCCATCAGGAGTCTTCCTGGGCAGCATGTTGCCACCAGACTCACACCAGGAATCCATTAGCAAGGAACAAGGAGGGAATGGCTTGGGACAGGCAACCTGCAGTGTTGGCTACAGGCAGTGCAACATTCATTCACCCCCCACATTCATTTATTCATTCAACATATATTTACTAAACACCTACTATGTGCTGGAAATATAGCAGTGAATGAAGCAGGAAAATAATTCTGTGCCTTCTTTGAACGTACACTGACTAGTTGCCAAGCTTTGGAGTTATAGAGGTGGTTAATGAGACTCAGTTCTGCCTTCTTCACTCCCATAATGTTCTTTTTGTTGGGAGGCAGTGTCTTCATATCCCAAAGGACACACATTTCCCAAAGGGCTTAGGGGTCCTGCAGTGGTTCACGGGACAGCCTTCATGTTGAATGTTCATCTTCCCTCTTCGTAAACAGAGGTAACAAGCAGCAGCTGCTCTTTCTCAAGAAGCTCTGGCATTGCTCTGGCCCCATGAAAGCCTGACCCCTGCTTTCTAGGTCTTTGTTAATAAGGGAAGAGTGGGTCAAGAGCCTTGTCGCCAGTAGGAACTGTCTCCTGGCCTGTTCTCCAGCCTCTCACAAACGCCATTCACTGGATGCTTGACACGTGCCAAGTACCATGCTAGGTGTCTGATGAGCACCATGTTATTTAATTCCTACACAGCTCTGCAAGGGAGTCATGAGCAACCTTATTTTACAGCCTCAGAGATGGGAAGGAACTTGATTCAGGTCAACAGCTCGTCAGTGCATACTCCTCCCCACTACACAGTAACGCTTACCACATGTTGAAGTCTCTGCTTGAGGAACAGAGACAGATAGGAAAGCAAAGGTGGGTGTTGCAAAGACAATTTTTAAAATGCATCTGCTGCCTTCAAGTGGACTGAAAACCGGCCAGTGCATAAGAGAGCAAAGCAACGGGAACATGGAGGGAAGTAGCTCATCTTAAACGAGAGGTGTGGTCATTCACTGCCGTGAAACAAACCACCCCGAAACTTAGCGGCTTAAAGCAACCGTCATTGTTCTTATCTCTCTGGGCTCAGTTCTGTGGGCTGACTGGGCTCTGCTGGGAGTGTTTCTGCTTTCATCACGTGGGGTTCCTTATGTGGTTACAAGTCAGCTGGCCGTTGACTGGCATGCTAGGGGGGCTGGGTCTGGGCTTCTCCCTCTCTCCACGTGGCCTCAGGGCCTGTCCTTGACCCCCTCCATGGGATCTCTCCAGCAGGATAGCTGGGCTCCTTCGAGGGCAGCAAAAGCCTCCCAAAAGTCTGTCAAGAGAGAGGAAGCAGAAGCTGCCAGCCTCCTGTAAGGATGAACCCAGGACTCGCATAGTTTCACTCCACGGCCTTCTACTGGTTAGCACAAATCCCAGAACCAGTCCACATGCAGTGGGGAAGGACTAAGCAAAGGTGTGAACATGGTGTCTGGGTGGTGTGGCCTCTTGTTGGGCCATCTTTGGCCCTGGCAACACTAGTGGGCCCATGTGCATCGGAGCCGCAGCTCTTCTGCTTACTAGCTGAACGCCTATGCTGCTTGCTTAAATCTCAGACCCTCCGCTGCCTGATCTTGAAAAGAGGAATTATAATACCTGTCCCACCAGGTGGCTGTAAAGCTTAAATTAAACTGTAAAAACTCTGATCATGTCCGTCGTGGGGCTTAGAATAAAGCGGGAGCTTAGAGCGTGTTCCTTTCCTTTCTTTTCTTGGGCAAGAGAGAAAAATTGGAAAGGTCAGCCAACATGATAATCAGAAATATTGATTTTTTGACCAGTTACAATGCATACATCTCTGGCCTGTCCTTGAAAGGAAAACAGACACCCATGACCTAGTCTAGGATTTTAAGTTTGCTCTGGTCTGGCTGTGAGGACATGTACATGGTAAGTAATAACTAGTTGCCTATTACAGTTGCTCTAGAAGAGACACAGATAGGAGGTATTATGGGAGTTCCAAGGGAGGAAAGTTTGCTTAGGTTAGGGAAGGTTGGGACAGAAGGCTTCCTGGAGGAGGAGGTGCACAGCTGAGCCCTTGAGAGTGGGAAGTGTTTGGATAGGCAAAGAGGAGGACCAGTGTGAATGATGGCATGGAGCTGGACAGTTCAAGTGGGGAGAGTGAGGCTGGCTGGCTCTGCCAGGGACAGAGAGAAAT